CTCACTGCACCCCTGGTAACACTGCACCCCTGGCCACCCTCACTGCACCCCTGGTAACACTGCACCCTGGCCACCCTCACTGCACCCCTGGTAACACTGCACCCCTGGTAATACTGCACCCTGGCTACGCTCACTGCACCCCTGGTAACACTGCACCCCTGGCCACCCTCACTGCACCCCTGGTAACACTGCACCCTGGCCACCCTCACTGCACCCCTGGTAACACTGCACCCTGGCCACCCTCACTGCACCCCTGGTAACGCTGAACCCTGGCCACCCTCACTGCACCCCTGGTAACGCTGCACCCTGGCCACCCTCAGGCTCTGGTCAGTTGCACTGGTTGTCCCAACAGTGACTTATCCCAACAGTGACTTATTTCATAACAAAAAGATCTAGTTCATTTTGTGTGTTTTATTAGTTGTCACGTCTTTTTTGTTTCCTTAAACCTGGAGAAGTTCCTTAGTTATGGACATTTCTGAATTAAAATTTGTTAAGGTGCAGGCCAGTTGTTTGTAGAATATCCCTCACCTTGGGTGGGTCTGATGGCTCCCCTTGCTCAGATTCCGGTTATAGGTCTTGGCAGGAATGTCACCGAAGGGGTGTGGTTCTTTCATTGTGTTCTGGCAAGTGGCTCACAATTTGACTTGCCCCCTTATTGTGGGTGTTCACTTTGAATACTTGATTAATGTGGTATCTGTAAGCCTCTGGCAGACTCTTTTTCCTTGACAGTTAATAGGCGTTTTGAGGTGAGGTACTCTGAGACTATGTAAATATCCCATTTCTCATCAGACTTTCAGTTAATGGACTTAGTGAGTCAGAATCTGTTACTCTTATCATTTATTTTGATGTTCGGATTGCCCCAGGTTTCTCCAGCAGTCCCTTCATGCTGGCTTCTGCATCTCTGTGATTTGTCTCCATTGTTCTTGTTTTTTTTTTTTTATCCTCACTCGAGGACATTTTTCCATTTTTTGTTCAGATAGAGTGGGAGGGAGAGAGAGGAAGAGAGAGAGAGAGGGAAACATCGATGTGAAAGGGACACATCGAGTGGCTGCCACCCGCACGACCAACCAGGGCCGGGGACAAACTGCAACCGAGGTACGTGCCCTTAGCGGGAACCGAACCGGGTCTCTCTGGACCGCAGGTGGACGCTCTAACCGCTGAGCCAAACTGGCCAGGGTGTCTCCATTGTTCTTTGAAGAACCCCTACTCTCCGGCACAAGAATGTGCTCCAGGCTCCCCTTGTCCAGTCCTCGCCCTGGACTCTGCCGTCTCCCCCAGGAGGCCTGGTGCGCGTGGTGGAGCGTGTGCTGGAGAGCGAGGCCAGGGGTTGAGCATGCTGGCTGCTGTGGGGTCTGGCTGGTTCCAGGTGCTGTCCATGGACAGAGCTAAGGAGCTGTGCATGTGTGTGTGTGATCACACATGCCTACTTTATATCTGCGTCTGTCTGTCCAGAAAGCTGGGAGTTCACACTGCCAACTCCAGTTCCAGCAACACTCCAGAGTGTGTGCTCTTTGCTCTCTCTCCGTGTTTGCACTCACTTCCCTGATACGGAGAGACCTGCTCCCATCTTCATCTTTCTCCTGTGTGACCACCCGCTCTCCTGTTGCCCCTGCGGCCTGTTTCATGGGTACCCTCCTCGGCCCACTGGGCCTCCCTCCAGTGCCTCTGCCCTCCCCATACTTGTTCAGCTTTAACTTACCATGCCAGGACCATGCCAGGCTGCTCCTGACATTCCTGGGCGGACACCACACAGACCTCAGTGTCTCACACCGACCTTTCCCTTCCCCAGTGGATGCCCTCTTTCCCCGCCTCTTTTGCACAGAGCCATCTTCCTGGCTCACTGGGCTCTGGCAGCCTGCAGAGAACCTCCCTGCCTTCTCCCCAAACCTTGGCAGCCTGTGTGGAAGAATAGAGGAACATCTGCAGTCCTCTACATCAGAAGTGTTCGGAGGAAACACTGTTCTCGTATGGACTTGGAAGAGTCTGGAGATTAAAGTGCGGGTGGTCTGACATTTCATCCACCAACTCACTGAACGTACAATTACTGAGCTCCTGGTGAGGGCCGTGCTGCGCTGGGCCACTGGGAAGGGCCATGAACTAGACAGGACCCCCTTGTGGAGCTGCGCTCGCTGGCTGTTCACACTCAACAAGCTAGAGAGAGTTAGGACCTCTCAGCCTGGTTCCTCATATGTCAAATGGAAATAGTAGTAACTATAATTTGGGGTGGTTGTGGAAATTGAATAATGCATGAAAGATACCTAATACTGTTGGTGGTCAGTACCATAATCATCACCGAAACAGTGAACCGGAACCTCAGCTGGAACATCACTGGTCACTCTAAAAATGGTCTACAGTTCTGAGGGCAAGTGACATCTCCTGTTCTCGTCAAGCTCTTCCTTGCCTTGACCTGTGAGTGTGCACGTCAGTTACTTGTGAGCTCGTCGTGTGCACCTGTCCCTCCTGAGTGAGGAGGAATGCGAGAGTGTGGTGGCCAGGCACTGTGGCCTCTGTTCGCATGTGGAAATCAGGTGACAGTCTAGTGGGTCTTCTTTGGGCCTGAGAGATGTGACATATTCTTATATTTGGAGCACAGTTAATGAAAAGGCAATCACAATGCATTGTTAGAAGAGAGAACATTTTGTTGCATGGTAACTTAAGTTATAACATTTTTGTTTTCTAAGGGAAGGTGATGATTGAATATTTAAAAAAATATATATATATGTTGTTAATCCTCACCCAAGAATATTTGCCCATTGATTTTTAGAGAGAGTGGAAGGGAGTGAGGGAGAGAGAGAAAAACATCCAGGTGAGAGAAACACATTAATTGTTTCGTTCTGCGTGACCCCGATGGAACCTGTAACCCAGGCATGAGCCCCTGACTGGGAATCTAACCTGAGACTCTTCGGTTCGTGGGCAGTGCTCCAACTTCTGAGTCATACTGGCCAGGGCTAAAAATAGATTTTCTTTTTAACTATTACTAGCTGCTGGTATTTGAATCCAGGTGTTCATTGCACTTGAAACTGATATATCTAGTAATATCTAGCTTACTGTATGGTGATAGTATTTAAATGCACATAGCATGTAATTTATAAAACTCTAGAAAAATAGTTGCCCCGGGAGACATGTTTTCTATCATCAGAGATACAATGAGCCTCCTAATGTTTTAGGGGTAGGTAGTCCTTTATAAAATATAATTCAATTTTCTGTTGTGTTGTTTTATGTTCATGTGGCTTGTCATGGAACCTTAGGAGTAACGGTTCTGTAAACATGGCAATATAGTAGCAGTAGGAACTCTAGGAATGTAGAATGAAATACAGATCCCCATAACGAACGGCCTGGCGAACTATTCCGCACTCCCAGATCTCATGCGTGTGGTCTGATAAAGACAAAGGCTGCCCTGATGATGAACATACAGGGATTGTGAAAGTGTCCGCTACCTGAGCGGTTAGTTAAATCATTTAGCCTTAGCGCGTGCTGCCAGCGAACGGAACACACCTCTGAAGGTGGCAGTGGGACAGCTAGGCAGAAGCTGGGGAGGGGTCTGCAGAGAGGGGCAGCAGGCAGGGAAGGGATGACCTGTGGAATCCTGAGAAGAGTGTGGCGGCAGGGGAAACAGTGAGGCACAGCGCTAGGGAGTGGCAAGCAGAGCCCTATCCCAGAAGACAGTCCTGTGTTGACAGTTTAGATGGACAGGAAGTGGGAAGGCCACAGGCTGTGCTTCTGTGCTGGCTGGGGTCCTGTGGAACCCATCCAGGTGCACTGCCCTTCTGTGCCGCAGGTGAGTGAGGGCAGGAGAGGGGACAGGTGACTCAGCCACAGGTGAGAGGGCTGGGGGGAATGGGGAGGGGAGGGCAGTAAAAAGGAAAGAAGTTGGAAGAGAACAGGCACAGTGAACAAGAGGGCCACACCCCTCTAGGTTTGTGGACTTGAGGAGGTGTTTCTTGTGATTATCCGTTGAGACACTAGCTGTGGTTTATATTTCTTTGACTCTTTGTCAAAGTTTTAATAAGTGTATTTGTTAAGGACTAGGAGGATTTTTCCTTCAGAGTTTCAGAGTTTGTGTTTGTTTGTTTTTTCTTAATAGAACAACCACAACAGCCTGCCCTAGGAAACTGTCTGTGGGTTATGTTCATTAGCAAGATAACATTAATTTTATTGAGGAAGAAATAAATCAAGACAAAGGCCAGACCAACGAGTTCCTGTTCCTGTGCTAAAGTGTGGTCATTAGCTTTTATTATGTAAATGTGGGTCAGTCCTTGTGGAGCCCTAGTCTAAGGGCTGGTAAAGAGCTGACTAGGACAGGGCTCTGCCTTCAAGGAGCAGGTGGCAAGTGAAAGAAAAGGTTTCGGGAACATGAAGAGGGAGCTCTGGGGGAGAATGTGCTGGAGAAGTAAAGAAAGGTTCCCGAGAGTAAGCGTCTGCCTGTGTGTATCAGTGGATGGAGCTGTGCCAGGAGGCAAAGGCTGGGGCGAGCCTTGCAGCAGAAGGCTGGATTGCTGTGCAAAGGTGCAGAAATGTGAAGCATGTCTGGCGCCAGAGAGCGTTGTACGTGGTTGGAGCATGGGATGCAAGGAGTGGGGCTGATGAAAAACGAAACAAAGACTATGTTGAGGCCAGATTCTGAAAGATTTCTTGTTAAGGAGTTGGGTATTATCCTGTTCGGAACATCATAGCAGTGTGGTACTCGTAGTAAGAGCAGTCGAACACATCATTGGGAGAGAAAAGAAAATTCTAAAACAAACCCCCAAACATGAACATTATTCAAGGTAACAGCACTTCAGATCAGTGGGAGGGGATGGATCAGCAGACAGTGATGGAGCATCGCTGAACTCTTTGGGAAGAACAATTAAGTTACTAGTTTGAGAAAGCATTTTATATAATACATTTGTTAAGAATGTCAGATTTAGATTTAGAAATTTGGGTTTAAAACCTTGACTTTATAGCTAAATAGAATCTGATGTTTCAGGTCGTATTTCTTACCTTAAAACTTTTTTGTGCAGCTTCTGCAGAAAAAGAGGCAATCAAGGGTGCATACTCCAAAGTACTGGATGCATACGGACTACTAGGTGTTTTACGATTAAATCTTGGTAAGTTTATTATTCAACATAATTAATCTCTTTTCTCATTTCTGTTCTGTAATTTTAAGGATTTGAAAAAGACTATTTATAAATGTCAGATTCCATATGTGAGCTATGAGTGTGGTAACATCTTTTAAGAGATCGGTGCCATTTGTCAAAGGAGACTGTCGTTACCCTTTTTCTTTGCCTCAGTGCATTTAGTAAAATATCTTAGTGGGAACCATACAGTCGTTTATCACAGTTAATCAGTTCCAGACCCTACCATGATAAATGAATTTCCACGAAGTAGGATTCTTTGTTTATACAGGTCGTCCCCCCACTTCGCGCTTCTACCCGACAGAGTGAAGCTGCGAACGTCCGAGTGCGAAGTGGGGGGACGACTGTGCTGCTTCCCTGGCTTACAGTGGGAAAGCGTCTGCTTTGTCAGGGGGTCTCAGCTTGGGTCTGCCTCTGCCACTTAATGTCACCGTGGGCTGCAGAGTGGCCTTTGCGATGACAGGTCTGAGTGTGTGACAGCTGGCCGAGCGCGACCTGCCAGGGCTGTTTTGCTGCTCTCTGTGGTGACAAGAAGCCTGCACCGTCACACAGCTCAGCACATGGCTCCTGATAACGTCAGGCGGCGGGCTCAGTGGGCCGCCGATCTCCACTCTGGGGCGAGCACCTTTGCTCGCTGTGAGCACGGGTCCAGGAAATGGAGAGGCACCATCCGCCATGACTCCGTCACGTGCCTTGGTGCTTAGCTAACATAGTCCTGGGTGATCCTCAGAGCCCAGTGGGATAGGCTCAGTCCCGTATTAGAAGGAGGACAGCGCAGGTTGGTTCTGTCCACACGAGTAGTGGGGCCAAGAGGCAGAGCCCCCGGTCAGGCTGCACCGCTGCCGAATTCCAGCTTCACGCTGACTTCACTGGGTTCTTGTCAAAAATCCCACGAAAGTTTTTATAAACTTAATTGTTTATAAATTGTCCCAGGGACTCTGCCCACATATCATCATCAGCTCACATTCTATACCCTTTTTTCCACATGACTGCCAAGAACTCTCACATTCATTGAACTTCCTAACAATCACAAAGGAAAAGTAGGGAAGATAACACATTTTTTTTATTTGATCATTTTTGTGTACCCTCCGATTAAGTAGTAAACAGTTTCATAAATGTGAGATTATTCTGTTAATGTTTAAATGCTTCATTATTCTAAATGTGCTTAAACAAGGATTTCTTCAGCTTTTGCCAAAGTCTAGATGTGACCATAAACACATCTCTGATGCGTTTTAAATAACCATGATGTGAGATTTTAAAAGGTGGAGACAGGAGAAGAAAGTTGGAAGAAATTTTGAGTAGCTTGAAAGATACTGGAACTTTCCATCCACTTAAATCTCTGCTTCTTTGCAGGTGATACCATGTTACATTACCTGGTCCTGGTCACTGGATGTATGTCTGTGGGAAAAATTCAAGAATCTGAAGTTTTTCGAGTTACTTCCACTGAATTTATATCCCTGCGAATCGATTCTTCAGATGAGGATCGCATCTCAGAAGTGCGAAAAGTTTTGAATTCAGGAAACTTTTATTTTGCATGGTCTGCCTGTGGAGCCAGCTTAGACCTGAGTCTGAGTGCGCATCGCAGCCTGCAGGAGCACGCGACCGACAACCGGTTCTTCTGGTGGGTGTGCCGCGCCTGCCCTGTCCTCCTGCTTGCGCTCGGGCCAGACAGCAGGTGGCCCTGCGCCCAGCCAGCGCACTCGGCCCTGCCCCAGCGCCCAGCAGGGCAGGGCAAGTGCCCGCTGTCTCCTGATGAGAGTTGTCCTGTGACCTTCCATTTCAGAAATAGATTTAAAACCTTCCTTTTAAAATTGGGAATGAATTAGATGTAATAGAACTGTGTTACTCAATGGACTATTCTTAGTTTTGAGATCTTGTCTCTAGCAATATGGCCTTTCTAAGCCAACATTCCCTTATTATTATTTTTTGTTTTTAAAACATGTTTTTATCAATTTTTTCAAAATATGTTTTTATTGATTTTTTTTTTTTAGAGAGGAAGGGAGGGAGAGATAGAAACATCTATGTGAGAGAGAAACATTGATCACCTGCCTCCTGCACACCCCCTACTGGGGATCGAGCCCTAAACCCTGGCATGTGCCCTGACCGGGAATTGAACTGGGACCTCTCAGTTCATGGGACAGCGCTCCATCCACTGAGCCACAACCACCGGGCTTATTTTTTCATTGTAGTTGTAAGCAGATGATCTTGATTCAGTAGGAACAGCGTGCTGGGGTGCGTTCAGCAGCATAACGTAAGAGTCAAATCAGTAACGAAGATGCTCCCTGCTCGTGCACAGGGTGTGGTGGTGTCAGCGTGCATAGACAAGCGGAACGTGTGGCCGTGGTGAGGACGGCTTGATTGGAACAGGCCCAGTGTTCGCTGTGGTGTCCTCTTATCCACAACCGGCACCGCACCAGTGTTGACTTTCCCCTTAACACCATGTACACATTCTATTTCCTTATGTTTGCACGTGTTCTTAGGCCAAAGTTCAGGACCTCTCTGGGCCTCCCTCAGCAGTTCAGACCCAAGGTGTCTCCTCCTACAGTGCTGCTCTCCTGAACTTTCACCATCTGTCTCTCTGGCCCTCAGTAGCACCGTCAGGTTGGACCCGTTTGCCCTGGGGGTCACAGGGCTCAAAGTCAGCAACAGCCTCAAGACAGCAAACTAGCTAGAGCAACGACTTGGTCACCTTCTGGCTCACGTGTTCGGTTCTTGGCCCAGAGCAGTGGGAGTGGGGAGGGGAGAGGGCCATGGGAAAGGAGCACTGGAGGCAGAGACGTGGAACCCAGCAGAGGAGGAGGAGCGGGAAGGAGGGGCGCAGGTGAGGGAACAGAGTCCTGGCTGCTCGTACCAACCCTCCATCTGTCCAGTGAACAAGACATTGAAGTCCCAGGACGAGGTGAAGGAAGGCGTTGCCGTGGGCTGAGGGCAGCTGTGCTCACTTTCCCGCCTGCTCCTTCTCACCCCCGGTTCCTCAGATCCAGAGAGCACTTTTCCTTCCGGAATCTGGAGTCCGAGCAGGTGTGCTCTTTAATCAGAAGGAATGGGTCACGTATCTTTTCATTCTGTGAGGGTAACTTTTGACCCCAGATTGAAGGTTTACACAGCAGTTTGCCCAGACGTGTGCAGAGGCGGGCACATTTAGAGACTGCACGGAGGGTTATCCAGTAGGAGGAAGGTTAAACACAGGGAGGCTGAAACAACACGGGTGAGTTCGCTCATTTCACACTTTCCAGTTTTGCTAAGGATTAGCATTGTCGAGCCTCACTTTGCATAAGAAAATGAAAGCTTTAAGAACTCATGTTTGTTACACATACTCTTGCAGTTTAGTAGAAATCTCCAGGATGTAGCCAAGTCAGCTTGTCGCTGCAGGAGACTGCAAATACCTGTCATAGAAGCCGGTGGTTTTCCTCCACTGGAGCCTGGAAGCCGCTGCCATTAGAGGTGTTTGTAGTTTAAATAGAATTAAAACAGCCACACATTCACTGCAAAGAAAACTGAAAACTGACGGTGCAGGGAGAAACTCTGCCTGAACGAACGCATGGGATCCCACACACTGTTTCAGTGGGGACACCCGGGTCTCCTGTCCCTCTGTTGGGACTGGGCCTCCCTGTGGTGTCTGGATGCACTGGGTCACAGTCTCCTTCAGCCTGCCTCAGGTCAGTGCAGGGAGCAGGTTATGGAACCTTGTTGTATTTTCTAAAATAACTGGCCCTGGCCGGTTTGGCTCAGTGGTTAGAGCATCGGCCTGCAGACCAAAGAGTTGTAGGTTCGTTTCCGGTCAAGGGCACGTACCTAGGTTGCATTTTGTCCCGGCCCTGGTCGGGGTCGGCAGGAGGCAACCAGTCGATGTGTCTCTCTGGCATCGATGTTTCTCTCTCTCCTCCTCCTCCTCCTCCCTCCCACACTATCTGAGGATAAATAGAAAAATATCCTTGGGTGAGGATTAAAAAATAAATAAAATAAGGACTGGTAATTGGATTCACTGTTCTCCTGGTGGTGATTTCAGCACCTGTTCACGGCCCGCATGCTTTCTCATGTGGGTGAGGAGGGGTGTGGCTGGGCTCCCAGAGCTGCATGTGACCAGCATCTGCTATTTCCCCTGCAGCCCGAGTCCCAGGAGGAGGGGTTGGGGACTGCTGGACATTATTGACATTAATGACCCCAATCTTCAAGAAAATGCTGTTCATTGTTTTTATACCTTTAAGACAAGATGGTTTAGAGCACTTAGGAAAGGTTTCCACTTACTCCAGTAGGAGGGTTTTAAAACTCAGAGAGCCAAGCTCCAGTATCACAGAAAATCCCCTGTGTGAGGCACCTCGTTATTTGAAATACCAGGTAGAAAGTTTCTGCACAGGATTCTATTTTCCTTGGTGCTAGATGGGTTAGGAGCTCCCCAGGTGTTCTTTGGAGAGACTCCTGAGGAGGTGGCAGCAGGATGGGAAGGTGGCCGGCCTGGCGGGGCTCCAGTGTCCCTGCTCCGGGGTTTGACAGCCTCGGCCTTCTGCACATTGTTTGAGAACAACTGCTCCGAGTGTTGGGGAGCCAGGCCCGTCTTTCACCTAGAACACTAAAGTATTTAGTGAGGGAAAACAGGCATGCGTTAAGACATGGCTCTTTAAATTTAAATGCATTAAAGTTTAGCCTTATGAAATTCAAGCCTTAAAAGCAGAGCTTTATAAAGTGGGGTGGGATATGGAAAAGTTAGTTATAAATACATTGTCTGAAAGACGACAGGAATGGGGCACAGATACCAAAACCATGAAAGATAGGCTTCTTTCTTGTGGACCGCAGGCCTGCCCAAGGACCTCATTGCACAGCCCCGTCCTCTGACGCCTAGCACACCACCTGAGAAAGAACGGACGCACTCCAGGTGCCTTTTCACCCACTAGCATTAACGCGATGTCCTAGGAGTACAGTGCGGTCCAGAACTCGGTCGGTAATGGCTCCCCCTCTCTCTGCAGGAACCAGTCTTTGCACCTGCATCTCAAGCACTACGGTGTGAGCTGTGACGACTGGCTGTTGCGCCTCATGTGTGGGGGAGTAGAGATCAGGACAATTTACGCCGCTCACAAGCAGGCCAAGGCTTGCCTCATCTCCAGGCTGAGCTGTGAGCGAGCGGGCACCAGGTTTAACGTCCGGGGAACGAACGATGACGGTCACGTCGCTAATTTTGTAGAAACAGAACAGGTGTGTAGTGTCTTATGTCGCTTAATTCGTGTGTGAGTGAGGGGCACAGCAAACATGTTTCACTCAGGACTGTGTGTCATGTTATGGCTGTTCCCAGCTACTACTGGCGCTCAGATAAGGAGCGGAGTCTTGCTGCCAGGTGGCATGTAAGGGCCCTGTCCCCGCACTGAGCCAGCCTCCTCCTGGACGCAGTGCCCCGTCCCCGCACTGAGTCAGCTTTTCCTGGAGCTAGCCCACTGGGAAAACGGCTTCTGTGACATAGAGTCAGTCCCGTCTCCCACACATGGGCATACGAACCGTCTAAAATAAAAAGTTATGGTATTGCCCTGGCCGGTTTGGCTCAGCGGTTAGAGCATTGGCCTGCGGTCCGGAGAGACCCGGGTTCGGTTCCCGCTAAGGGCACGTACCTCGGTTGCAGTTTGTCCTCGGCCTTGGTTGGTCGTGCGGGTGGCAGCCACTCGATGTGTCCCTTTCACATCGATGTTTCCCTCTCTCTCTCTTCCTCTCTCTCCCTCCTCCTCTGTCTGTACAAAAAATGGAAAAATGTCCTCGGATGAGGATTAAAAAAAAATAAAATAAAAAGTTACGGTATTTTTGGCTGTGAAACTATATACTGTAATTGTAAATTTAGTCCGTGCATTGAACCCAACTCAGATCTTCAAATCCCTTTAATATTTAAAAAATATAAGTAACTAAAAAGACATTATGTGAAAATAGAAAAATAAATGTATAAAATATTGAGATTTAAAAGGAATTTCTTTTTAAAAGCTGTGATTCTTATGCTTATATTTTTAATATTTTCCTGGTTAATATAGGGAGGGACAAAAGTAGGTTTATAGTTATGAATACATAAAACTCAGAGTTTATTCTAGTATTATTGTTATTAATTATTGTATTATTTTCCACATGAACAAATGTAAACCTACTTTTGCCCAACCTGTATATATAGATTTTTTGTTGGGACAATTTGTATAGGAGCAATGGATCATAACATATAACTAGTGTGCAGACATGTTAGTAAATTTGTATTCTAATGTGGAGGTAACAGCTTTGTCTGCAGAAATATTTTATACATGTTTTTCTCTGTAGGTTGTGTACTTAGATGACTCTGTTTCTTCCTTCATACAAATCCGGGGTTCTGTTCCATTGTTCTGGGAGCAACCAGGGTTGCAGGTAGGTATTTGACAGTGTGGTGTTTTTTTTTTTTTAAATCTTTATATTTTTTAAGTTTACATGATTGTTAGTTCATTGGACACTTGTATTATTCAATCTAATAACATCAGCTAGATTCATAAACGAGGACTTAAGTGCAGAATTCCTGGAAATGTTAGATACTTTTTCCCTGTAATGTTCTTTCAAATATCTAGAAATCCAGCCACTGTGTTCAATATTAAAATTTTGATGTTTTCATACTACACTGATTTTTAAAGTGTTTCCACGTTGACTAGTATCTTGGTCTCTGTAGGTGGAAAAACATCATAGTTGAGACACAGCTTCTGAAACTAGACTTCTCAGTTTGACTGTGACTCTTCCACTGCTCTGTGTGACCTTGGGCAAGTGATTTACCGTTGGCAGCATAGTGCCCGGCACAGTCAGCCCCGTAGAGGGCTCCCTGTGGTCCCCAGCATAGTGCCCGGTACCGTCAGCCTGTGGAGGGCTCACTGTGGTCCCCAGCATAGTGCCCGGTACCATCAGCCTGTAGAGGGCTCACTGTGGTCCCCAGCATAGTGCCCGGTACCGTCAGCCTATGGAGGGCTTACTGTAGTCCCCAGCATAGTGCCTGGTACCGTCAGCCCCGTGGAGGGCTCCCTGTGGTCCCCAGCATAGTGCCCGGTACCGTCAGCCCCATGGAGGGCTCCCTGTGGTCCCCAGCATACTGCCCGGTACCGTCAGCCCCGTGGAGGGCTCCCTGTGGTCCCCAGCATACTTCCCGGTACCGTCAGCCCCGTGGAGGGCTCCCTGTGGTCGGCTCCCTGTGGTCCCCAGCATAGTGCCCGGCACCGTCAGCCTGTGGAGGGCTCCCTGTGGTCCCCAGCATAGTGCCCGGCACAGTCAGCCCCGTAGAGGGCTCCCTGTGGTCCCCAGCATAGTGCCCGGTACCGTCAGCCTGTGGAGGGCTCACTGTGGTCCCCAGCATAGTGCCCGGTACCGTCAGCCTGTGGAGGGCTCCCTGTGGTCCCCAGCATAGTGCCCGGTACCGTCAGCCTGTGGAGGGCTCCCTGTGGTCCCCAGCATAGTGCCCGGTACCGTCAGCCTGTGGAGGGCTCCCTGTGGTCCCCAGCATAGTGCCCGGTACCGTCAGCCTGTGGAGGGCTCCCTGTGGTCCCCAGCATAGTGCCCGGTACCGTCAGCCTGTGGAGGGCTCCCTGTGGTCCCCAGCATAGTGCCCGGTACCGTCAGCCTGTGGAGGGCTCCCTGTGGTCCCCAGCATAGTGCCCGGTACCGTCAGCCTGTGGAGGGCTCCCTGTGGTCCCCAGCATAGTGCCCGGTACCGTCAGCCTGTGGAGGGCTCACTGTGGTCCCCAGCATAGTGCCCGGTACCGTCAGCCTGTGGAGGGCTCACTGTGGTCCCCAGCATGTCTGCTGCTGGAGTTGCCCTTTGTTGTTCATAGTGGCCTGTCAGCTTGAGGGTATTCTCTGGCTTGCTTTCTGATTAAAAAAAAAACAACTTTCCTTTGTTGATATAAATGTCTAATCTTTCAAGTATAAGATATTTATGTAAGAGCACACTATTGGCACAAAATCACAGTGTGATTTTGCATTTTATTTTTTTTCAAAAGTCTTTAGTCCTTAGGTGTAAGTTGCATTCGTTTGAGGCATCCAGTGTGTGCTGTCTGGTAACTTCTGTGCCTCCGTCTGCAGCATTGAGAACATGGACAGGCAGAGACTTTGCTGCTTTTTAGTTCACAGCAGATCTCTGACATTCCAGGACGGTTATTATGGATTGCAGACCCCTCAAACTTTTTCAGCAACGCAGTCCCCTGGGGACAGGCTAAGGTGGAGGAGGGTTCAGTCTCGCGTTGCTGTGCTGAGATTCTCGGGTGCTCTTGGAGACTGGGCTGACTGGCGTGGTTCCCTCTGCACATCGGTGCACTCAGTCGCTTGGGAGGGAGCCATCCCTGCGCCACTTCCCCGGCTGCCTGGTCTGGGCAGGGCGTCCGCAGCGTGTGCTGTGGGGTCCCGAAGCCCTGCCTGCAGCCCGGCCGTGCTCTTGCTGTGGCCACAGGCTCGGTGAGAGAGCCTGGCCCCCTGCTCAGTCCTCGGCCCGCGGTCCTGCTGCCTTCTGTGCTCTTTCGGTAAATTACTTCATGAGGTTGGATCCTGAGTCATTACCTGAGGGACCCTCCGTGGGCGGGACTTCCTTTCTGCTTCCTTCTGTGTTCTGTGGCCTCACACACAGTCAGGCTGCCGGATGCCACGTGACCGTGGGCTAAAACCGTGCCGTTCTTGACAGAGTAATTTCTGAGATGCCGACAGTCCAGTAGCTCTGAGTCACGCTCACTGAGCTGGCCTGTAGATGGGCTGGGTTGAGCATTGGGTCAGTGGTTCTCAATTATTTAGTAGTGTTGAAAGTCAGCCTGTCTTTGAACAGGAATAGATTAGTTTCATGAGTAGGGTCTTTTATCCTTTTCCCCCACTACTCTATAAGAGTAGTTAATAGAGGGATGAAATATATAATTGATTTTAAAAACTGGAAGATAGATGCTGACTTAAAAATAAAAATATCAAGTTCAAAAGTTAATTTCCCCATAGAAGACAAACAGAGACCTTGGACTCAGGGTGATTATCAGTGGTGATGGGGTGTCCTGTGCATTCTTGGGATGGAGCTTATTTGGGGGACCCTTGAAGTCATCGTTGCCCAGGGAGATGACCCACTTCAGGAGCATGTGCAGGACGCCTTAGGCGGGTCTCTTGTCTTGCCTCATCTCCATGATGAAGTCCTCGAGGTTTCTTAATTAAAAGGTTTAAAGGAATCATGTGACTTTAAAATGCGCACTTCTGGCCTCAACTATTTCACATCAGCTGAAAGAGAACCTCCTGGAGTGGGGTCAGGGATCTACATTTTTAACTAAGTTCCCTTCAGGTCCACTTTGAGAACTTTGTTGTGCAAGACCTGTTCTGATGACCTCGAGCCGCCAGTCCGCCAAAGCCCCGGTGACACTGAGCCCGGGAAGGTCTTCCTCGTTTATCCTGCCCTGCGGACTCTCACAGTGTTACAGCTCGTCTCCTCCTGGCTCTCCGGCAGTTCTTTGAGTTTTCCCCCTTCCCGCTTTTGATGCATTATGCTCATGAGATCTGGGCAGCCCTTGCTCACGATCTGGCTTCCCCCAGCCGTCCAACTCCACGCCCTGCTCCTTTCTAGCAGGGACCCTCCTCCCCACTCAGTCTCATCGAGTGCGTGCCAGTCACAGCTGCACGCTGATCTCATGACATCCTGAGACCTGCCCTGGCTGGTGTGGCTCAGTGATTGGAGCGTCGGCCTGCAGACCAGAGAGTTGTGGGTTCGATTCCGGTCAAGGTCACGTACCTCAGTTGCCGTTCAGTCCCCGTCGTGCAGGAGGCAACCAGTCGATGTGTCTCTCTCACATCGATGATTCTCTGTCTCTCTCCCTCTCTCTCTATCTGAAGATAAATGGAAAAGTATCCTCGGGTGAGGATTTAGAAAAAAAATCCTGAGTCCTTCCAGTATACAGTCCTCTGTACGAGGTGTGTGGCCTTGTGGTGCGAGGAACTCGGAGACTAGAATGACACGGAAAGAGCTTTGTGCCCTGTTCAGTGGGCAGGCCTCTGCGGAAAAGGTAGATGCAGTCTGGGCTAGTCCCAGGCCTCGCGAGTTCACAGGGTGCTACCCAGGAAGGATGGTGTTGTAAGTGCTGGCAGCTCACTCATTTTACTTATGATTTCTCTCTGAAGTTATTAGCATTTGTCATTTATAGTGTTACTCTGACATATTACTGCATTATATTATAGCTAATATTAGTCTTTTTTTAAATATGGAACGCTTCACGAATTTGCATGTCATCCTTGCACAGGGCCTAATCTTCTCTGTATCATTCCATGTTAGTGTATGTGCCGCTGAAGCGAGCACACTAATATTAATCTTAAAAGATAGTAAAATTATGAGCTCAATGTCTTGAATAGTGTTGCACGCTGAATTTTTGGTCAAATTCTCAGAAATATGTGAGCATGAAACAGTAATGTTGGAAAATGCTGTTTCGTATCACCCAATTAAGTGGTTTTCGAAAAATGTCCTTGACATAATAGCGTTTTTATTACATGATTTTTTTCTTTTTCACTGAGTGATGAAACGCAGTCTAGCTTGCCCAGTAGAGTGCTGTGTGTGCATGGGGCAGGGTACCGGGACAGCCACAGCCGCTGCCCGGAGAGCGGAGAGCTGGTGTTTTGTCACCTCTTGGCAGTTGAGAAGACTGCACAAGATAAATATTAATGATAAACACAATACTAAGTTTTGGACTTTTTCTAGAATTATAGGCAATAACCTGAGATTGTGCCAAAGAAAAAGTACTGACTTGTGCCGAATTGTCTGCCATGTAACATGCTTACGGTCCTGGAGCACTGAGCTCTCAACGTTTGACATTTTACACAGGCTCTTCTGCAATATAAAATGAAACTGACTATAGATGTGACATCAGTCTAATCAATGTCTTATTTAAAGAGAGAACGTACCATTTGTCAGGACGGTCTTAGATCGTCTCACTTTTCAGGACAGAAGGGAGAACCCTGAATGAATGATGATACCGTTCACTCAGTTTGGGGGTTGGCCGAGCATATCAGAGCTTATTCACAGTGTTTGCTGAGCTGCATACCCGACTGGCAGCTCTCCTCCACGCCCTCTGAAGCCCCCTGTCCCAGGTTAGCAGGTGAGCCCTGGGCAACGCAGGCCCGGAGGCTCAGAGGGTGGTGTCACAGATGAGGTTCAGGAGATAATATTGTCTTTCTTTTTGACATCTGTTATATATTTCTCAACTCTGCCTCATCTGTAAAACAAAATAGCAATATAAAATAAACTATAACAAAACAAATAGTTTCCTTTTTGTTTAATTTTCTTAACCCAGGTTTTTGATTCTGCAAAATATGCTGTTACTATAGTTGTGCGGCTCCGAGACTGACTTTGGAAAGTCTCTTCCCAGGAGCGGTCCCTTTAATTCGCTGGCCGTCTGGGTGAGAGAACAGAACAGCGCATTGAGCGTAACAGAGAAACGCGTCGCCATCGTGCTGGCAGGCAGCTTGCAAGAGGAGGGATGTAGGGATCTTTTTTGACATTAGTGATGTCGACCTAGTAGGACAAGTTATTTCACTGGGCTGTATTTGTTTTCTTAGTTCCCAAATGGCAATGATATCTGTTGACTTACACAGGGCACGGAGTGTGAGTTTCAAACAAGGTAACGTATATGAAAGCACTTTTAAAAATATTTTCACAACTAAAATTTTCTGTTAATTTACAAATGTTTCATAGTGGTCTAACTTCTAACTCTCTTTATATGGGGTTGCATTTTTTTTTTAAATAAAAGGGAGGAGAAACTCCTAGAATCTGTTTTTTAAAGAATATCATTAATGACAGTTCTCTGACATACTGCTCTGTGTTCAGAATTATTGCGTCTTGTAAGCAAGATTCATGTCTTATCTCACCTTGGCTTTGGTGTGACTGAGCATCTTTCTTGTCCTAGGTGGGATCGCATCGTGTCCGCATGTCCAGGGGTTTTGAAGCCAACGCTCCAGCCTTTGACAGGTGGGACGGGGTCTCTGACTCGGCGCTCCCAGTTCTGATATTGTTAAGCAGTGGCACTACTTGTAATTATATTTACCCTTTTGGGCTCTAAAATTTCTTCTGACTCCCTAGTCTAACTGGAAATGATGCCTCCTAGTGTTAGGGCGTGTAGCAGAGGGAGCACCAGGTGTGGGGTCTGGGTCTCGGCCTTCGTGCTCCCTCCACGGGGCTGGGGCTGTGGCTGCCGAGAGCTCGAGCCACCGCCACATCCAGATGTGCTGGGGTGTGAAGTGTGCGCTGGATTTCAGGCAGATCAGTATTACCTGTCAGTATTTTTCACACATGTCGATGACACGTTTGAATGATATTGTAGCTGTACTGGGTCGGGAGCTCACGGAGGGTGTGATATCCTCACGTGGGAGGGGCAGCCCTACACCCTCTGCACCCACTGCCCGGTCAGCCCAGTGGGAGACTAGTGTTCTCAGGGCTGGTCCAGCAGCAGCCGCTCCGGGTGAGAGGGGGCCCCGGGTGAGAGGGGGCCCGGGGCCCGGGTGAGAGGGGCTGTCTGACCCGCGCCTCCAGCGCTGTGGGAGCCTAGCGCTCGTCCTCAGAGTTCACTGGGTCTCCGCACGTGCAGAATTCAAGACCCTGTGGAACGAATTTGTATTCAATTTTGCCAGTTCTGTGAGTTTAAAGGGAACTATATAGGTTCTGATTAATAATGGATTCTTATTTATTGAAAAAAATTTTAGATAATCACTGACGTGCTTATTTTCTTTCTTTAATAGGCATTTTAGAACGCTTAAGAATTTATATGGTAAACAAATAATAATAAATTTGCTTGGATCTAAGGAAGGTGAACATATGCTAAGTAAGGCCTTCCAGGTAAGATTGGTATTTTTAAAATAATACAGTAGAGTCATTGAATTCTTCCAGGAAGTAAATGACTCCCTAGAAAAAGGCTGGGTGCTTGTTGGAACCATTAGCTCTTGGGACTGGACTTAGGGTGATGTTGCTGAAGTTGGGGTTGTGGGAAGCTTTCGAGGCTGTTGACACTCTTCTCAAATGGGCTTTTTTACGCTGTGGAGAAGCAGAGTGCCCCTCCCCGAAGTGTCCTTCTGTCCCCGTAGGAAGGTCGCAGGCAGTGCCCTCCTGGGTCTGTTCATTGCGTGCCTGCTTCCTGGAAATGGTCATTGTTCCCACCTGTGAGATGGTGACGGCCACATCGATATGCACGCGAGCGTGTGCCTTCTTGTGCTGGAGAGAGAGAAAGTTGAGACTTTCAAGTAAAAAATAAGGCAAAAAAAATCTGACTTCTAAAGAAAAAATATTCTTCATAAACACTTATTGAATCAATAATTAATGTAAATTATCACGTTACATAGAATTAGAAGCTTAAACAAAATAGTTAAAGAACATTTTCTTAAATTTAATCTTGATATACTCCAGAATTAATTATTTGGTTATTTTGTTTGAACCTTGTGAAATAAATATTGTTAATAAATAGATGATATTTCAGAGAATGACTTTATGGTAAACTTTTAAAGCGTTTGTATGTATTATATAAAGATATAAAAATGAATTTCATATGTTTTATAGGCTTTGTCTTAAAAACACAAGTTACTTTATTTTGAGATTCTATAATAGATACAGTTATTAAATTTGGATTGTAAAAACTAAAATGCTAGTGGTTGGAAGTAATTTTTATTTTCTAAACCAGATGAGAAGGTTGAGTTCTCTGAGGGCCCGTCGCTAGGCCCCGAGGGGCGGTGCAGGAGGCCCAGGGAAGTGTGCCCTCAGATGTCTCAGGTCATTGTTCCTCTCGCCGCTGGTGCTGGTGGCAGCCCTGGGAGACTAGGGTTGAATTTCAGTGTGAGGCCCCACCGATGACCCGGGTGGACGGACCTCACTCAGGCGCCGATATGATGGATAACCCTTTCTACTTCAGAGCCACCTAAAAGCTTCTGAGCACGCTGCCGATGTCCAGATGGTGAATTTCGACTACCACCAAATGGTCAAAGGGGGGAAGGCGGACAAATTACACAGTGTTCTTAAACCTCAAGTCCAGAAGTTTCTAGATTATGGATTTTTTTATTTCGACGGAAATGATGTTCAAAGGTTTGACTTGTTCTGTTTCTCTTTTCTTTACATTGGAACTTTGCTATAATTTAAAAATTATTCTTAACATTGAACTCTTAAATTTCTTGTTTTAAAATCAAAGTTTATAGTTAAGCTATCTTTCTTTATTATACTTGACTTTAGGCTTGTTTTTCTTTCTTTAGAATTTACTATTTCCTGACTTTCCTAAGGACAACTACATGCAAATAGAAGTAAAGGATGTTACTTATTGTCTGTTTCAGTATACTTTAAATCTTTAGTTTTTGCATATAAAGTAGAGGAGAAAAAGTATTGAAAGATTGAAATAAGGAATATAGCTTGAGGTAAACTTTAGTAAACAAAGCTCAAAATTTTTCATGTACAATATTTAGTATCAGCGCTATAGAAACTTTGTAGGACAGTCAGTCGAGATAATAGATCTTAGGTTTTTAAAAATTGTTCCTTAAAAATTTGATATCCTCTATGTGTAAAGAAGTATGGTGTTATAAATAGTGTATGTTTAGCTCCTAACTCCTGGCCTAATTAAAAATAAGTGGGTATTGCCCTGGCTGGTTTGGCTCAGCAGTTAGAGCCTTGGCCCACGGATCAATGAGTTGTGGGTTCGAGTCTGGTCAAGGGCACATACCTCAGTTGCAGTTCATCCCCGGCCCTGGTCAGGGTCATGCAGGAGACATTCATTGTGTCTCTCTCACATCAATGCCCCTGCCACTCTATCTGAAGATAAATGGAAAAATATTCCTGGATGAGGATTGAAAAAAAATGCTTGGGTGTGGATGAATGGATAGATAATGTGATAAAGAATACATGGGAAAACGTTAACAGGTGTAGGTCTGGTGGTTATGTGGGTATTCTCTGTAAAAGTCTTTCGTCTTTCTTGTGTGTCTGAAAATTGTGATATAAAAAGTTCAGGGGAGAAAGTGAGTGCTACCTTTTTTTTTTTTTTTTCTTATCCTCACCCAAGGATATTTTTCCATTTTTTGTACAGATAGAGTGGGAGGGAGAGAGAGGAAGGGAGAGAGAGAGAGAGAAACATCGATGTGAAGGGACACATCGAGTGGCTGCCACCCGCACGACCCAACCAGGGCTGGGGACAAACTGCAACCGAAGTATGTGCCCTTAGCGGAAACCGAACCCGGGTCTCTCCGGACCGCAGGCCGACGCTCTAACCGCTGAGCCAAACTGGCCAGGGCGTGAGTGCTACCTTTTAATCACCTTAATTTCTCTCCGTTTGTTTTAGTTTTGTTGTTTAACCTGAGTGAATTTGTTACAGGTGCCAGAGTGGTACAGTTCGCACCAACTGCTTGGACTGCCTCGACAGAACGAACAGTGTGCAGGCCTTCCTCGGCCTCGAGGTACGGGTGTGGCTGCGTGTGGCGTTGCGTGCCCTCCGTACCCACCACCTCTCGTCGTGTTTTATCCAAGGCATTCTTCTCTTCTAGTCTTTTTTGTTTTGCCAAAAGTTCCTCGTCATTTAAATGTTTCCTTTACCTGTTCTAAATACTGTCTGTGTTGCTGTGTTTTCCTCTTATTCCTTCGCTTTTCCTAAAAAAAACAAGACCCTGCTATTTACACTATTCCAATAATTGCCTCTTTTGCCTGTCTTTTGGAAAAAGAATAAACAAACGTGTGTGTGTGTGTGTGTAACTGGCCTCATTCTCTGTGTTGTCTTTCAAAAGTTTCTCTGGGCCCTGGCCAGTTTGGCTCAGCGGTTAGAGCGTCGGCCTGCAGTCCGGAGAGACCCGGGTTCGGTTCCCGCTAAGGGCACGTAGTACTTCGGTTGCAGTTTGTCCCCGGCCCTGGTTGGTCATGCGGGTGGCAGCCACTCGATGTGTCCCTTTCACGTCAATGTTTCTCTCTCTGTCTGTCTTCCTCTCTCTCCCTCCCACTCGGCCAGCTGTCATTATAATTTACTTAGAAAATACGACAGAAACAAGAAAGTGGAAGCAGCATTTGACCATTTGGATGGAGCTTTTTACATGGCTGTGTTTCTAGTTCTGTTTTTAATTGGTTGAATACATTTACTTAGATTCTGAGAGGAAGCTTACTGAAATACTTGAATGTCTTCATTCAAAGTATTACAGGTTTTGGCCAGTTTGGCTCAGCGGTTAGAGTGTCGGCCTGCGGTCCAGAGAGACCCAGGTTCGGTTCCCGCTAAGGGCACGTAGTACTTCGGTTGCAGTTTGTCCCTGGCCCTGATTGGGTCGTGCGGGTGGCAACCACTCGATGTGTCCCTTTCACGTCAATGTTTCTCTCTCTGTCTGTCTTCCTCTCTCTCCCTCCCACTCTATCTGAACAAAAAAATGGAAAAATGTTCTTGGGTGAGGAAAAAAAAAAATGTTTAACAGGTTTTAAGCCCGGCTGGTGTGGCTTAGTGGTTGAGCATCGACCCTGCACCCCGAGAGGTCACCAGTTCGATTCCCAGTCAGGGCACATGCCCAGGTTGTGGGCCCAACCCCCAGTGAGGGGCATATAGGAGGCGGCCAATCAATGTTCTGTCTCATCGATGTTTCTATGTATCTCTCCCTCTCCCTCCTCTCTCTCAAATCAATAAAGGGGAACATTTTTTTTTTTTTTTTAAAGTATAACAGGTTTTTGTTTTCAGACACCAACTTAGCTGTTTATCCACTGTCGTGTAAGACAGAGTGTAGTTAGGTGTGAGAATACTTCCTTGTACAGAAATTGGTTAAATGGTTACCACATTTACTGGTGAAACAGGCAAAACCAAATAAATAGTGAAAGCAGTTTTGCCCCATTTCTTGAAGCCCGAGAGCGTGGTCTGGGTGGCAAACGCGGGTCTGGGCGGGTCTGGCTGTGCTTCGTGCCAGCAAGGAGCAGCTCTGCCCAGCCCCCAGGCAGGCAGACCGGCTTGGGGTTTTTCCAATATGATTTGAGTTGTTGATGCCTCGAGAACTGTGGGTAATCTCCATACTTACAGGTAAGGTAAAAGAACACCAAACAGGACGGAATTAAGTAAAAAGTGAAGGAATGCAATATGGTGGATTCCAGATAAGAGAGGCTAGCTGCGGGCTGTGTCTTGTTCTGACCGCCGGATTCCAAATCTAGAATCCACGCTGAGTGGAGAGCATGCCTTTCGGACACTTTGCTCTCTGCGGCGAGGGAGAGAGACCCTGCACCCTGTGTCCCTCAGTCCTGCTCACACGCCAGTGTTGGTTTTGGTGTTTGTGACAGTCCAAGTGCAGCTCTTTTGTGTTCACCATTTCTTCACCTTATTACCTGACTTACAGACCAAATCTGATAATTGAGGGGACTTAGTTATTCTAATAGTTAAACTAGGTAAATGTTTTTTCTACTCTACTCCATGCTATTCAATAATTCTTTTAGGTAAACAAGGTAAAATAGTATGATTTGTAGGGATATTTCAATAAGATTAATTATATTATTTAATCAGAAAGGTGTTCTCATTACTACAAGGGAATATTCATTGCTTGTAGGTTTCATTAATGTGCTATTTACTTTAAACATAGAAATGGTGGGAAACAACACAATTTGCTTAGTAAACTAGGATGTTTTCAGAATTTAGTCCTACGTAGTCCTATAACTACACATTTTTGGTTTACTTCTGGTAGTTCTTTTTTCCCCTAAGTTTTTAAAACGACTTTCAGAGCCCTGGCCGGTTTGGCTCAGCGGTTGGAGCGTCGGCCTGCGGTCCAGAGAGACCCGGGTTCGGTTCCCGCTAAGGGCATGTACCTCGGTTGCAGTTTGTCCCCGGCCCTGGTTGGTTGTATGGGTGGCGACCACTCAATGTGTCCCTTTCACGTCGATGTTTCTCTCTCTCTCTCTTCCTCTCTCTCCCTCCCACTCTACCTGAACAAAAAGATGGAAGAATGTCCTCGGGTGAGGATGATAAAAAAAAAAAAAAAATGACTTTCAGAGAACAAGATGGGGGTGGGGGAAGAGAAACAGATGAGAGCGAAACACTGATTGGCGCCTCCTGTGGCCCCCACTGGGGATGGAGCCCACAACCCTGCCCCGGCCGGGAGTCAAACCAGCCATCTTCCGGTGCCCAGGATGATGCCCCACCAACTGAGCCACACTAGCCAGGCTACTTCTGGTGGTTCTTAAAAAGTCACATCACAATTAAGATATTAATATGCTTACAAAAATTTCTCTTTTGCGGTTGTAGATGCTAACTAAACAGTTGGAAGCTCTCCACTTGGCTGAGAAGCCTCAACTGGTGACTCGCTTTCAAGAAGTTTTCCGGTCTATGTGGTCGGTGAACGGCGACTCCATCAGTAAGATCTATGCGGGCACTGGAGCTCTGGAGGGGAAGGCCAAGGTGAGAGCAGCTCTGTCGCGCAGAGGACGCCCTTCTCCTCTTCGTGAGGCTTTGCAGTGGGCTCTCTCACTGGGGTTGCGAGGTGTCTGTTTCAGAACTGTCCCATCATGCTTTTACTCCCCTGTGACTTTGCCTTCTGTCGTGGTACTGATAGAATGGAAGGTGTCTCCCCCCAGGTTGGCAGGGTTGGGGGCTTAAGTGTGACATGGTTGTCCATTAGTGAGGGTCCACTAGGCCTCTGTATTGCTTACATTTTTTTAAATGAGTTTTCCCTTGCATATTTGTTTTACTTTTTATATTGTTTATTTTTATATAAATAATGTATTTTTAACCTAGTCATCCTTATAAGGGTCCTATCTTATTTGGTTTGGGTCCCTGGTACTTGACACAGTGCCTGTTATTTAATAGATGTGACAGGTATTAGAGGACAAATCAGTGAACAGTTCATGCAACACCTATTGGGAGCCCAGCATTAACAGGGCTTGATTAAGTTTATTTTTTACTTACCTTACCTTGAAAGGGAGACTGGCAAAATGTGCAGAAGAATGTGAGACGCGGACCTAATCACAGTGCTGCGCCGCGCGGTCCCCTCCCCTGCCGGCGTTGTCTGCCTGTTTCCCACGCGGTGTGTGGCCTGCGCTGAGGGACTCAGGAAGCGTACTGGAGATATTTTTCATTATTTTATATACAACACTGACTTTTTAAGGCTCCTGGCCCTAGTTGAATTGAAATCTCTACAATTCCTCAAATTACTTCAGAATAGAAACAAGATCAGTGACCACTTGTACGATTCTCATTCAGCCCATTCAGTGTAACAAGTGAAATTCTTTAAAGACCCATTCATCATCTCAAAGTCTTCTTTTCATTCCTTCATCTGCCTCCTCTTCTGTGTCTCCTAAAATGCAATGCCTGTGTCCAGAGGTGGGGCCTCACCTGCGACAGTCCCTTTTGTCCGACTCAGAAATAATACGTATTGACAGCTACGACTGTTTCTTCTCAAATGACCCTGTTTTTAAAAACCTGAAATTATTAAAGTTTCATTTATTCCTTTTACATTAAGAACATAATTCTTCCTATTAAAACTCAATTCTCTACAACTGTTGCTTAAAATTGCCTTTTATGTTTGCTTGGCTTTTCTTTTCTGCAGTGACTAAGACAGTGTATGTGCAGAGGGTACACACATTGGCGGTGGTCTCTGACTGCAGCCTGACAGATAGGAAACTGTGTGTTCATGTGCTAGTCCGCCTCGAACCAGGGTCTAACATCCCACCTGTTCTTTCTCTCCTTTCTCTGGGCTCCTTTGGTAATTGCCTGACAATGTGAATGGTGAGTGTCTTTTCAAATAACGTCCTTCGTGTGTGGAATCGCATGGAAGGGGTCACATTTTTAGACTCAATGACTGTTCTTTAAAGAATAAAAATAATATATTGCAAACTATTTTCCTAAGAGACAAAAGTTGTGGTGTTCTTTTTTTTAAAACAAGTATCCAAATCTGTAAGGTCAAAATAAATCTTTATGGTAATTAATATGCCTAAGTAAATATATGTTCATTGAAAGTTACATAGCTTTCACTGTATGAATTATTGTGAGTTTATTGTTTATATTATTTATATATATACATAGAATACAGTGACCTAAAATGTACAGATGGTAGTTTACATGTAATCTGTATTTATGAACTGTAATTAAAGTATCTTTTTAGATACTTATTCTTATGTTCAGTTATAGCTTTAACTAGTTAAGTTGCTTGGGAGTAATTTTAATTTATTTTCTACTATTGAAGTCCTTTGCAGCTTTTCTGAGAGCCTGTGAGTGCAGTGTGTCCTCCTCTATCCCCCTGCTTCTCCTCGCCCACCCGCCCCGGGTCTGAAGGGACCTGTGAGAAGCCATCCCTGTTCCAAGTGTGCTCCCGCTCACCTCTGCACTGTGAACAGTGCCAGACAGTCAGTGCTCTGGGGGTGCAGTTGGTGCAGTTGTGGCCTCAGCTTGTCCATCTCTGCAGAGCTGTCGTCCAAGAGAGGAAAGGACTCTGACATCTCGAGCCATTTTAATGTGATGATTTGATATTGAAAATAGAATGATTAGGTCCTTTATTACAATCAAATTACATACACCTTAGAGTTTCAGAATACCTGCTGAGTGAAAATAACAATATCTAGAATGAAAGTCCATGCTCCTTTCTCCCCCAACAGGCTGGAAAGTTAAAAGATGGTGCTCGTTCTGTTACTAGAACGATTCAGAATAACTTCTTTGACAGCTCCAAGCAAGAGGCCATTGATGTTTTGCTCCTTGGAAATACTCTAAATAGTGATTTAGCTGACAAAGCTCGAGCACTTTTAACTACTGGAAGTTTGCGTGGTATGCGTACTTACTTTATATTTTACCTACTGTGCGTTACTTGTATTCCTTCTGAAGTCCAAGAGATGAGTGTGAACTTACTTACATAAACAACTTTTAGATTGAGTTCATTATGATAGATTTGGAAGGATTTTCTATCAATATAATTTTTTAAAGTTGCTTTCTCCAAAGGAAGTTTATCTCTTTCAGAAGGGTTATATCATCAGTGGTATTATTAAGCCATAAATGGAGGCCTATGTATGTTTTCTTTCAGAGACTATGATGGAGGGGTAAATGGGTTAAGGATTGCTAACTTTACATAAGGCAGGATTTCATAGACTGTTCAGTTAGTAGAGCATACAATGGCCTAATCATTGTAGAAAACAATGCTTTACTGGAAAAAACAGTACCTATATTGGTTATTTTGCTGATCACCACCCCTAAAGTTTCTGTAACTTAGTCTTACCTTTTCATTGCTATTGCTTGACTACACAATAATTCATCTTTATTAATAATTTAAAATATTATTATTGGACACTACTATTCCCAGTTTTAACATTTGACTTAAATATATGGCTTTCAGGATGGCTTTTATCTTTTGCTGTGTTTTTTATTAAAATCAAAAGCATTTGAGCTCATATTAGTGGACATAATATTAAGTAGTATCGTGGGAAACAACACTCACTGTAAAACTTAATAAATTAGACTTCTTTACCCACATTTTTTATTTTAACTTTCCAGCACTCTGAACACTTTCATTTCCTCTCTTACCGTCAAAGCACACCTTTCCACGTCTCTCGAGAGGAGTTGTTCCTCATCAAGCATTGTACTCCTGGGTAGTTACTTGGTCAAGTGGGTCATCGTAGGTTTTTTCAGAATTTCTCTGTAGGCAGTAATTGCAGCAGCTCCTCAGGGGTCTGTGAGTGGGCTGGGACTGAGACCCACTGCAGCTCTAAAACACAGTCTGGTGCTGGCAGTGTGGCCCCGTGGATTGAGCATTGTCCCTGCACCAGGAGGTCATGGTTTGATTCTGGTCAGGGCACATGCCTGGGTTTTGGGTTCAATCCCCAGTCAGGAGCCTGCAGGAGGCAGCTAATCAGTGTGATGTTTCTCACATTGATATTTCTATCTCTCCCCCTCCCTTCCTCTCTCTTTAAAATCAATTTAAAAATTTTTTTAACAATCTGATCTTACGCTTTTGGCTCCAGGCCTTCTTGGTGGCTTCCAGCAGTGGAGCTTAGCTGATCTTCACCCTAACCCTCCTTCTACCTGCGCCTCCGGTGATGTGAGGCCTTGCAGAGAACCACTGAAAGCCAGCAGCTAAGGGAAAGGAAGGGGAAGGCGAGGGACCTAGAATTCCCAAGCTTGGTCATCAGTTGTTTAGTCTTCGGAACATTTTCCTGTACATAAAATACACCTTGAAAAGCAGTAAGGGCAGTTCTGCTGTGACACTTATTCCAAGACCTGGGGGTGTTCCATCGGGTGCATATTCAGGAACGCTGTGCGCTCACTGCCAGGTCTGCCTCAGTTTCTGCCTGATTTTGCCGGCAGTGACACCAGGACACACAGAACACTGGCCGCGGCAGAGGGAGGTGAGTAGAACATGGAACACATACAGGCGTGTGCACACACCTCGCACCCTCTGCCCACCCATCCGCTCTGGTGCTGTCCTTCCCCCATTCCAGAGACCCTGCCTCTGGCACTCAGTGACTCAGACGCTGCAGCCCTCCAGAGGCCGATTTCTGCAAGCACGCTTGGGTCTTTTTCAAGATGAAGTGCCATATTAAAGGAATATTTATTTATACACCTCTTAACCACTTAACACATGTAAAACTGTGCTGTTGTCTTTATCAGGTTCCTGTCTTTTTTGGTATGTCACTGCCGAAGCAATGTTTTGCCCTAACCCTGTTTTTCCCATAAGCTCTGTGGCTGGGACTTTGCACAGTTTTGCACAGCATACTGTTGTTTTTGGAATGTGTATGTTTTGTTAAAACTGAACTGATTGGATTTATCAGTTGGTGAGTCCCAGAAAGAATTCTAAAAGGTGTATGTTTGGGCAGTATCTTCCACATGGTCAGTATCCCCTGGCCTCTTGGGTTTCCAGTTCATATTCTTCTTTACGTGCATGTGCCCGCGCGCGCACACACATGAGCAGCCTGAGAAGCAGGCCCAGAACCTGACATAGAGTCATTGTAGGGCCCGGCCGGTGTGGCTCAGGGATTGAGTGTCGACCCTGTACCAAGAGGTTGCCCGTTCGAGTCCCAGTCAGGGCACATGCCCAGGCTGTGGGCCCGATCCCCAGTGAGGGGTGTGCAGGAGGTGGCTAATCGATGTTCTCTCTCATCGATGTATCTATCCCTCTCTCTCTAAAATCAATAAAGAAAAAATAATCTAGAGTCACTATAGGGTTTTTCTCAGATGCAAATGGTTTGCTTTAGCTGTTGTCATTTACTTTTCATGTCGGTGTCCTACAGCCATCAGAAAAAATAGTCATCAAATGAGGCCATCTGAGGATGTTTTGTCACAACACTAGATTTTACCTGTGACTTGCTGTTTTACTAACGATCCTTTGTTTTCTCCCTAATGCATCCATAGTTTCTGAACAGATGTTACAGTCAGGTAAGGTATAGAAAATCGTGTATTTATGAAAGTAACTGTTTCTTTTAGTTTTCTAAAGTTGATTCTGTAAATAAAGCCATGTAAATGGAAACTTTCTCTCATTTCCCCCTCAGCTTCTAACAGCACAAATGGATACCTTGTTTTAACCTGAGAAAAGAATTTTAGATTTGAGAAAACTGAGTAACTTCATTTAGAAGGAAATATGCAGCACTCTTTGTCATCCTGTAGCAAATGTTTCATTGCAGTGAATCCAGTAGTTTGCATTCACTTTGACTTCGTTGACAAACGTTAGTGGTATGCCTTGCTCGTGACATGCCAGTGGAAAGGCCCAGATGGGACTGTGTTCATTCATTTCAGAGAACTATCTGTGGTATTTGTGATACTCAGTGTTCCTCACTCCTAATATTTGAAAATACTTTCAAAATATTTGGAAAGGACTCATTTCTCATATCGTGGACGAAGTCGTCCCTGTCGCTGGAAGCCCCGCACGAACGTGATCTGATGACTCTTTGGAGGCATCAGGTGCAGCCAGGCGAGGGCCAGCCGTGGGGGAGCCCGCAGGGTTGCCTCCTCGCCCTTCCTCGGTGCCCTCATGCCTCGTTTTCTGGACAGTTTGTGCTGAAGGGCACGGCAGCCAAACTCCTGCCAGAAAGTTCCGTGAAAAACACATCTTTCCCCTCGCTTCAGACCTGCTGTCTCTTAAGACTGGTTTTGCTTCATCGTTGTTCTGAATGTTTTGAAAAAACTGGTTATTTTTTTGAGAAGGATGGATGAAGGGAGCAGTTCATATTTCTCTGAGTAATGTGAGCAGTCGTTTTCTGAAAGGGCAGTGTGGTGCTGCGGGACGGACGTCTGTTTGAACAGACTCATTTCTCTGCACATAAGGTGCCCACCATTGAGACAAGGCTGGGATTTTCACTGACTTTGTCAGTTCATACAATGTGGCAACACGTTTTTGTTCACACAGTTCATTAGTTGTCTTTCTGATTATTTTAAGCAGTTAGATCATTATAGAACTGGTGTTTTGATACAGAAAGGATCGCAGAAACTGTTTCATGGTAGTAACGATGGCAGTAGCTTCACTTATAGAAACCAGTCAGCCAGACCAACAGGCTGGAACAAATAACCTGCTTTCTTTACCCCAGCACCTCTGTGCAAGCAGTCAAATTATATACAGTAGTAAGAGGGCAGAAGGCTGTGTGTCTACCCCTAAGATCAGAGATGGTACGAACATGTTATTCCCTTTTTTTTTTTTTTTGCTCTCATTTTCTCATAAAACTATTGTATATTGGTATTGTAAACATAGAATAAAACTATATCATATGGTGAAAGGTAAGAATTGTTTTGATTTTCTTTTCCTTTGACCAATTAGCTGCATAATCTCTGTTTTTAGAAGAAGGGCGTCTTACGGCTCCATCCACTTTAAGGGTTGAGAATTTAACTTAACCAAAATGAAGTGCACTTCAGAAGGAAGAAAAATAGGTGTCAGTCAGAAAATATGCAGGAAGAGATGGGGGATTTCAAATGTATGAACATTTATTCGTTTAACAATTATTTATTGAGCACTTACTATGTACCAGGTACTCTTGGGCATTAAGCTAGCTAGTCCAGAAAATAAAGTAGACAAACATTTCTGCCCTCATGGAGTTTTTATTCTTGTGAAGGGAGACAGAGAGTTACAGAATAAATAAATGAAATACATAGTTTGTAAATGATGATAAATACTATGGAGAAAAAGCAAAGAGAGGATATATGGGAGGTTGGGACAGAATGCAGGTTTTAATAAGATGGTCAGGAAAAGCCTCCCTGCAAAGTGCAGACATGAAGGAAATGGGGGAGCAGTGTGGCAGGTGGTAGGAGCAGCCAGTGCAAAGGCTCTGGCAGGAGCCGGCCTGATACCCCTTTGAAATAGCAGGAGTCCAGTGGCTGGGCAGTGAGTGAACAGGGAATGGGTAGCAGGTGAGGGCAGAAGGGCAAGGCAAATCATCTAGGGTGTTGTCCACCACAGTTGAAGTTGCTTCTGCTCTGAGATGGCAGCATTGGTTAGTGACTCCCCTCTAGGACATCTCATTATCATCCATATTTGACTTTTCATCAGGGAGCTGGAATTCATCAAACCACCTGTCAGTAGCTAGAACTGTAAATATAAATGTTCTTAATTTTTATTGTTTGGGGAGAAATGAAATTTATATTTTTACCAGTCTTTGAATGAAACATCAATTGGCTATATTTCTAAAGATGTCCCGTCTCCATTTTCGCTCCTTATAAAAAAACAGCATCTCATCGAAACAGAACTGTTTGTTCTCCATGTTCTTTTTTGCCGTAATAACTTCATAATAGCTTTTCTCACTCTGGTTTATTGCATTTATGTGGTCTATCTTTAAATTGTGTTAGTTACTTGTATCAGGCTGAGCTCTGTGTTTGAGGCTGGTATCTTTCTGTGCCTGTGCATGAGTCTTATGATTGTGCTCCAGACATTCCCAGTTATGAGAATGTTTCAATGGTTGTTTTAATGCAGTTAAACTTCTATTGTGTTTTGTTTTTCATTAGCCTCTTCCAAAGTACTGAAGAGCATGTGTGAGAATTTCTACAAATATTCAAAGCCCAAGAAAATTCGAGTATGTGTTGGAACCTGGAATGTGAATGGTGGGAAGCAGTTTCGCAGCATAGCTTTTAAGAATCAGACGCTCACCGACTGGCTGCTTGATGCTCCCAAGTTGGCTGGCATCCAGGAGTTTCAAGGTTGGCTTTTGTAATACAGATGTAATGAACACACCTGACTGATTTCTTAACCTGACAAACACAGTAGCACATCACAGTATGCATTTCTTTATCAAAGAAGCTTGGATTTATACATTTGAAGGCCAGCATTTTTATAGAGCAAACCTATCAAAAGCTTTCATCTTTTTTTATTCCTATCCTCACCCGAGGACATTTTTCCATTTTTTGTTCAGATAGAGTGGGAGGGAGAGAGAGAGGAAGAGACAGAGAGAGAAACATCGACGTGAAAGGTACACATCAAGTGGTTGCCACCCACACGACCCATCCAGGGCCGGGACAGACTGCAACCGAGGTGCGTACCCTTAGTAGGAACCAAACCCGGGTGTCTCTGGACCACAGGCCGACGCTCTAACCGCTGAGCCAAACCGGCCAGGGCAGCTTTCATCTTTTTTGTTCCTAGATTTTTATTTTCTACTTTATAAGAAAATATAATGGTAAGATAAGCCTTTTCTTTTGATATTTGATCCTCAGGAAATGGAATCCCTACATAAACAAATATCTTTAAAGGCAACCATAAATATAAGAAAAACCAGTTCTTATTCTTTTTATTCTTTTAAACTGACATAAAGCCAACTTATTTTGTAATTGATCATTCAAGTTCCATTTTTCTTTCTTCTTTTTTTTGTAGGTGCCCCTAGTGGGAACCAAACCCGGGACTCTCTGGTCCGCAGGCCAATGCTCCAGCCGCTTAGCCAAACTGGCCAGGGCTCCATTTTTCTTTCTTATTTTTTTTTTTTAATCCTCACCCGAGGACATTTTTACATTCATCCTCAGATAGAGCAGGAGGGAGAGGGGGAGGAAGAGAGAGAGAAAGAAACATCAATGCGAGAGAGACACATCGACTGGTTGCCACTCACACGACCCCAACCGGGGTGGGGACAAACTGCAACAGAGGTACGTGCCCTTAGTGGGAACCGAACCCAGGACTCTCCGGTCCATAGGCTGACACTCTAACCACTGAGTCAAACTGGCCAGGGCTCGAGTTCCATTTCTCAAACCTAGTCCTCAGTTTAACCACTGAGATGAGAAATATTCAGGGTGGATAGGACACAGTCTTACATGACTTGTAGTAACATTTGTTGGTACTTGGCAGCGTAACTTACTTTCTCCTTGTTAAAAGTGGTGGTTGTTTGAATCGAACATTGAAATGAAGATGCTGTTATTAAGATTTTGCTTAGAGTTATGAATTTGAGGCTGCTTCTTTTTTTAAGTCAACTTTAACTTCATTTTTAAGATGGTAACGTTAGCCAAGTATTCTATGTGGAGGTCATGTGTGGAGGAAATCATGTGAGATGCAGATTTTACCTTTTTTAGTCATCTTCAGTCATCACATTCTAAACCTGGGGTTTCCCCCAAACTTTTATTAAAATGCTCCTTTTCACATTTTACCTTGAACCTAACTTGAAGTTGTAGTGATAATAATTATAATAATAATAACTAACACTACAGTTCTCAGCCCTTCACACCTGTTTAGTCCTTAGAACAGACATACGACAGACACTGTCAGTCTCACCATTTCACAGAGGATGAGACAGACTCGTCAGGGAGGCGACCTGCCCAAAGTGCTGCCACTGGTCGTGGCAGAGCCGGACCGACTCCGGCCGCTGGGCCACAGAGTCCGCCACTGCGCTGTACTGTGGCCTCGGGCAGCGGCTCGTTCTCCGCAGCCTGTCTCCTGTCCGCACGGAAAAGGCGAGGGGATCGGACTCGTGACGTGTGTTGTGATCGCTAATGCCATGACTTATGCAGGAGCCTCGCATGTCATAGCAGTCAGTAAATATTCTTGACTTCTCAGTATCAGTTTATAGTATTCGTAGGCTCTTACTAGCTTCTATCCGAGTTTCTGAATACTTGGGAATTACCTTGAGCAGCTTCTGTTCTTTCTCAGCCTTAGTCAACTCTGAGAGCTGGTGGCTACAGCCCAGGGCTCTGTCCTGACCACGTCTCTTGTGGCCCCGGGTTTCTCCCGCCAGGCAGAGGCAGGAAAGATCAGGCCTGTGCTTTTCACGTGTGGACGTGAACATTCTCTCCCGACAGTTCCCTCTCCTTTGGTTTCTCCGCCACTTTGTGTCTGTGCCTTTCCTGAAGACTTCCTTCCCCCGTGTTGGCTCACTTGCCTGTTAGGAGCAGCTCATTTCTCTGCTGTCCATGGTAGGAACTGGAGCTTGAACTGGTTCAGAATGATTTCTGAAGAGTCTTAAGGATACTCTAGAATAACCACCTTAAAGTAGCAAACTTAGGACCCCTGAATAGAAAGTAAATTTAAAATAATTTTGTCCTACTCATGGGTTTTTGCCTTCCATTGGAATCTGGTTAAACTGAAAACACCAACATGGGTTTTTATGAGGTCTGGTGTTGAGTGATCTAGCTGTGTTGGGGATGGGGTGGAGGCAGGGTGCCATTGAACTAAGGCTGTATTCTAATGGTCTGTCTCGGTGCTTCATTGTAGAGAAAAGAAGTAAGCCAACCGACATATTTGCAATTGGCTTTGAGGAAATGGTGGAGCTGAACGCTGGAAACATTGTGAATGCGAGGTGAGCCACGAGAAGCGCCCGGGCACGGGCTACCTGCAGACATGGAGGGCCGGTGACTGAGCAGTCATAGTCAGGAGAGACTGAGAACATGTAAAGTTCCTTTTTAAACTGTTAAATAGCAGTTCTCAAACTTGGGTATCAGGATGTTTTCTACCCTCTTAAAAATATTGAAAATCTCAAAAAACTTTTATGTGATTATATCTCATTTATCACATCAGAAATTAAAAATGAAACATTTAATTCATTTAAAAATAACAATAATAAACCCACTATGTATTTTTTCCTCTGAAAATTAACTATTTCCCTAAACAAAAATGTGCTGAGAAGGATGGCATCATTTCATAGTTTTATGAATCTCTTTAATATCTGGTTTAAGATAGCTGGCTTCTCACACTTAACTTGCATCAGTCTGTCATAGTCTGTTGGTTTGGTTGACGTATATGAAGAAAATTACATAAATATGTAGTTAGAAATTGAAATATTTTAATAGCCTTTTCTAATAATTTCCTCTCAGAGACTATACCAAAATTCAGCAGAATAGTTTCTTAAAGTTTAGTTGCAATGTGGAATCTAAAATCACAGCAATGAACTTTTTGTGCAAACATTAATTATTTATAGGTCTCTCTTTTACTCATGCATGGTTTTGAAACATTGCTTATTGTTCATTTGGAGAATACGAGTTCACTGAGTTTTGTAGATCTTCAAATTTTGACACATTTCCTTATACAATATCAAAACATCATATTGGTTGCCATTATCACTGATGTAATCAGCACACTCTTTTAAATATTTGGAAGCTGTCAAGATCATGGTAGCAGATAGAAGTTTTCTTAAATTCTCATTTTTGCTTAAAAACTCAAATTTTATCATTGGGAATACATGCCATTGGTTGTTTCCCTTGAAAAGACAGGATTGGTTGAAAAAGTGTTTGCTAAATAACCCAAGTTTGAATAACCAGTCTGTCTTTAGTTTTTTCAAGTAAAAATTGTTTTCCATTAAAAAAGTGACAGCCCGGCCAGTGTGGCTCAGTGGTTGAGCGTCGACCCAGGCACTCAGAGGTTGTCAGTTCAATTTCTGGTCAGGGCATATGCCCAGGTTGTGGGCCAAATGCCCAGTGGGGGGCATGCAGGAGGCAGCCAGTTGATGTTCTCACTCATCAATGTGTCTGTCTCTCTCTCCCTCTTCCTTCCTCTCTCTAAAATCAATAAAGAAAAAAAAAAGTGACAGTTCACCTCTCAGCTCGAACTGTCGAGTGCTTCTCCAGGAAGCGACTGTCCACACGAGTGCAGGGCTGTGTGTGCTTCCGGTCATCCCGCGGCGCTAGGGGGCATCAGTGTTTGCCGCCTCATCGAGGGTAGTCTTAGGGGAAGTGGCACTGTTTACACTGCTGGTGCATGGTGGCGAGGGCAGTGGCAAGCCGGAGAATGGTCTGATGCCTGGGTCCGTGCTAGGGCATCAGTGTTTTTATCCATTGTGGCTTTGCGTCGTGGTGCCGATAACGGTCAACACAATGGAAGAGGCACACAATGCCTTAGTAGTATCACGAAAATGGTTTTGAGCTCATAGGTTTTGGGGTCCCCCAGAGATGTTCCCAGACCATACTTTGAGAACTGCTGTTCCAAAGCCTCATTACAAATACAGATTATTTGAGTGAAACCCAAAGCTTAAGTGCTTTATTTTTCCAAGTATGCCTGCTTTTTAAGTTGAACAGTTGTCCACCTTTGATGACATTTTTAACGATTTTCAGAATAAAATTATGGGCTGAAATAGTAAGATATCAATCTTGCATATAACATTTTTTAAAGAAATTTTTGCAGTTTGACAAAAAATACATTGATTGCACAGTAGACACCCAAGGGTGCTCTGTGGTTCCCTTGGCTTGAGTCTGTGGAGAGGGAGGTGTGCCGGGACGGGGCTCGCCGGGACGGGGCTCGCCGGGATGGGGCTCGCCGGGACGGGGCTCGCCGGGACGGGGCTCGCCGACATGGTGCTGGAGGCTCGAGCTGAAGAAAGAGATGAAAGCCATCATTCTCTTCAAAATCTAAGTCATGGTGGAGGGACGACAGTGGGTAGAAAGTCTGTCTTCCGGGTTTGTTTCGGGAGGCAGTATGGCAGGCTGTTAGGTAGGTAAGATAGCTGGGTGTGAGGTCATCTATCTGGTTCACCACGTGTCATTTCTCTGACCTGGAACAATAAGAAAAAACTTCTTTTGCTCTCCATTAGAGGTTCTTGGGCATAAATGTATTACACTGAAATTTTATAGATAAAGACTTAAGTATTTATCCTGCCTTCTTTGTATGAACTGTGTTTAGGGCAGTTGTGAAGTTAAAAGTCCTTTCTAGAAGAATTCCAGCTTATTACAAATGCTTGTGGAATGCTGAAATTACAAAATCAACATTTGCAACCCCTGATGAAAATAATCCAGGCAGTAATCACCAATGGGTGCTGAAGCCTTAGCAGGATTGAAAGGGGAACTTGTTACCATAACGAGTTCAGATTGTCATGTCTGAACATCGAGTCAGATGTGACATCACAGAGATTGTGTACCTCCTGCTGCAGTGCAAGGGTGACATCATACCTGTCTGAAAAGCCGGTCAGGTGTGACATCACAGAGATTGTGTATCTCCTGCTGCGGTGCAAGGGTGACGTCATACCTGTGAGGTTCTCTTTGCCCAAACAAGTAAATAGAATCAAATGTGTTTCCTAAGCGCCTACATTAACAAGTTTAAAACAAATGTGAGAGGGGAGGGGCAAGTTAGATACCATGAGGACACACCAGCCAAACCCAGACTGTTGAATATATTACAGACAAATGGCCCAGCTTCTTCAAAAAGAGGGGTGGGGAGGATTGAAAGACAATTAAAGATTAAGAGAAATTAAGCAAAGGAATGTGTGGGCCTTGTTTGGACCCTGTTTTAAAGAAACCAACTGTAAGAAGACAGTTTAGATAATCAGGGAACATGAGCTAAGGATTAGGTCATGTTAAGGAATTGTTACCATGGAAGTGTGATGATGGCATTGTGATGATGGAGACACGGACATGTCCTCTTACATTGGAGATGTACGCCCCGTATTTCCAAGTTAAATGGCATGTTTCTTAGATTTGGTCTAGAATATTCCAGGTTTACCCTACCCCATGAGAAAAAAAAAGTGAGAGGGGATAGAGAGAAAGGGTTGGTAGATGTTGACGATTGTTGAAACTGGTAATAGATGTGAATGGTGGTTTATTTTATGATGGTCTCTTCTGTGTCTTACTTGAATTTTTCTATAATAAGTTTTTTTTTTAAATGTTATAATCCAGAAAAATAAGAAAAGGGTGGGGGGAATGCATCTGGAAACATACTCCTCTGTTACCCCCCTTAAGGGAAAAGCGAGGTGTGTGAGCCGAAGATCATCCCAGGTGAGTGCGCCTTCGAAATAAGCAGCTGCAGTGTCTTTGTAACACAGTGCAGCTTGGATTCTGAAATGTGGATTCTGGCTAAATGTCGGGCTTTCCTTTTTAAAGGAAACAAGCCCACTTCCGTGAATTTCACTGTTGGGATAAATTTCGTGACTGCTGGTAGTCTTGCTAAATTGGGGCATATGCACTATTGAGCATGACGGACTACTGTCTGACGAAACAGCTGTGTCCTGTCTGCCCCTCTGCCTGACAGCACCACGAACCAGAAGCTGTGGGCCGTGGAACTGCAGAAGACCATCTCCCGGGACAGCAAGTACGTGCTGCTGGCCTCCGAGCAGCTGGTGGGCGTCTGCCTGTTCGTCTTCATCAGGCCCCAGCACGCGCCTTTCATCAGGTCAGCCCAGCATGCGCCGGCCACCTCGAGACCCTCCTGCGCGTGCTCTTGTGTGCAGTGTGTTTCTGATTAAAGAGTCACTGAGCAGAGTTGTGAACATAGCATACTTTCAAAACCTCACCCTCCAACTGCCACGTTCTGCGCAGTTCTGTAGTCACGTACCACACATCCCTAACTCTTGCGCACCAGGACCTGTCGAAATGCTGGATTTGGACCCAGGTTCTCTGTGTTACAGGGACGTCGCAGTGGACACGGTGAAGACGGGGATGGGGGGTGCGACTGGAAACAAGGGAGCGGTCGCCATCCGCATGCTGTTCCACACCACCAGCCTCTGCTTCGTCTGCAGCCACTTCGCCGCAGGGCAGTCCCAGGTCAAGGAGCGGAACGAAGACTTCGTGGAAATCGTCCGGAAACTGAGTTTCCCTATGGTGCGCCCTGCTGCCATGCCCTGAGACGGAGCTCTGCCACTGTGATAGGCACCCACTCCGTGTCCATGCTTCAGGGTTTACGACAGCCCCGGAAACCGCGATGGATTGATTCCTCTAGCTAGATATTCCGTGTGTTGTTGCTGTTGGGTTAAATAAGTGGAGCATGTCCAGGGTCGAGGCTGCCGTATCTGAGGCAAAGAAATAGTTGTAAACATTTTTTTTTTTTTTTTACTTCCTCACTTGCTATTTTTCCATTTATCTTCAGATAGAGTGGTGGGGTGGGGAGGGAGGGAGGGAGGGAGAGAGAGAGAGAGAGAGAGAGAGAGAAACATCGATGTGAGAGAGACACATCGACTGGCTGCCTCCCTGACCAGGGCAGAACCGCAACCGAGGTAGGTGCCCTTGACCGGAATCGAACCTACGACTCTCTGGTCCACAGGCCGACACTCTAACCACTGAGCCACACTGGCCAGGGCTAATTGTTAATATTTTTAAATAGTTTGTTTTGAATTTTAATTCCATCTCCTTCTTGTAGGGAAGGATGCTGTTTTCCCATGACTACGTATTTTGGTGTGGAGATTTCAATTATCGAATCGATCTCCCTAATGAGGAGGTGAAGGAGCTCATCAGGCAGCAGAACTGGGACTCTCTCATAGCAGGAGATCAGCTCACCAACCAGAAGAACGCTGGGCAGGTCCGTCGGCCTCGGGAGGTGCTGTGCGGGTGGGGGGGGGCCTTGGCTCCGCAGCGCGCTCGCCTCCGCTGCTCCGGATTCTTTGTGCTTAGTAAACATATGCCTGTAGTTTCACAGGTACAGAATTACACTTACTTTAAAAAAAGAAGATAAGGAAAGGAAAAATCCACATTAATTCCCAGGAAGAAAAATATACTGTCTCCGTAAGATTAATTTTAAGTAGAAGAAGATACTTTTTTCCATAGTAATAGTGAAGTTAGAATCTTGGTCTTTGGGACTATGGTTTTTTTATTTTAAGAACCTGTGGTAATATGCTAATATGCTTTATTTTTTTTCTCCTCTCATTGCTTATATCATCTGCCTTTTTGCAACTTACTCCTCAAAACTTAGGAGCACAAAATTTTGGAAGGATTATGTAAAGTCCTCAGAGTAGAGGCGACTGTGCCCCTTGCGGCGGTGCCTTACGGCTGCCGGGCACCCTCGGACACATGCGCCACTTGCCCTCTTTGGGCCCCGGCCCTCTGAGCAGGGGACGCAGACCGCGTGGTTCCCAGAGCCCCGAAGGTCTGTCTGCCAGGGCTCGGGGCGGGGGAGTCCCGTATTCAGAGGCCGGACAGGTGGCATGAGGAAGGCCGCGTCAGGTTGTTTGTCCTGAGCTCTGTCCCCTCAGTCGAGGTGTTGATCAGAGCACACACGGTCCGTGTGAGAGTCCACACACAACCGACATGTAATGAATGGCTGTCTCAATGAAAACAGCTTTTTTGCCTTTTAAGCAACTTATATGTATGTAAAAACTTACTTTGTATATGTTTATTGTAGATTTTCAGGGGATTTTTAGAAGGAAAAGTGACCTTTGCTCCAACATACAAATATGATTTGTTCTCTGAAGACTACGACACCAGTGAGAAGTGCCGCACCCCCGCCTGGACCGACCGTGTCCTCTGGAGGAGAAGGAAGTGGCCTTTCGATCGATCAGGTTGGGGGGCTTCTTCCTGCAATGAGTTGGTGCAGCGTCTGTGAGGAAGAGGGGTGATGTGACTGTAAGAAGAGGAAGCCATGTATTTATTTTTACATCTCTAATTTTTCAAAATTAAATCTGTTAGGGTGACAGTGGTTAAGAAGATCATATCGGCTTCCGATGTACAGTTCTGTGATACGTGAGCTGTGTGTTGCACTGTGAGCCCATCACCCAGAGTCAGATCTTCCCCCACCAGATATTGGACCTTTTACAATTTTTTTTTTTTAATGGGCAGGGATTGTCAGCCTTTATTTTATTTTTAATTTTTTTTTCTTTATTGATTTTACAGAGAGAGGAAGGGAGAGGAAGAGAGATAGAAACATCGATGAGAGAGAACATTGTTTGGCCGCCTCCTGCATGCCCTCCACTGGGGATTTGGCCCACAACCTGGGCATGTGTCCTGACCAGGAATCGATCTGGTGACCTCTTGGTTCATGGGTCGACGCTCAACCACTGAGCCACACCAGCCGGATGCTTTACAATATTTTTAACAAAGGTTATCTAGGATAAAATAAATAAAATTTAAATATAAAACAGAATTTAAAAAATATTCTCAGCCTTGCTTTTAATTATTTATTTTTGTCTATTTCAATGACCTTATTTCATAGAAAGAAGCAAAAAAAGTCTCATGACATTTCCAGTTGAACACTACTTGGTTTGAACATGAATCAAGTGTCCACATATATTAGGAGCTGCTACATCTCTATTGAATTATTTACAAAATACTGTCTGGTCACAGGCCTTGAAGTAATCCGAGAAGTAAAGCCTCATCTTAATTTTTATTTTTATTAAGTAAACATAAAACGAAAACGTTACCAGAAAGCCTTTCTAACTTTAAGGTGTCTGGACACTTGCCTGTTAGGCAGTGTGTGTGGCCCCCGGGCTCAGACGGCGTGAGCTACCGGCACAGGCAGACGGCTCCGCTCTGGCTCCGCTCCGGCCCCGGCTCCAGCTCCTCCGGCTCTGGCTCCAGCATGGTTGCGCTCACGTGGCTTCTCCTGTGTTCTTGTCTCACTGTAGCGGAAGACTTAGACCTTCTCAATGCTAGTTTTCAAGATGGAAGCAAAATCCTCTACACGTGGACTCCTGGTACTTTGCTGCACTACGGGAGAGCCGAGCTGAAGACTTCCGACCACAGGTTTCCAGTCTTGGTGTTTCTGGTGGAGCTTGAAATGTATTTGATCTGTGTCTTTTCCGAGCCTTTCTAACAGTCTGTCTTCATTTTTGCCTGAAGGCCTGTCGTGGCGCTGATAGACATCGACGTATTCGAAGTTGAAGCTGAAGAGAGGCAGAACATTTATAAGGAAGTCATCGCCCTGCAGGGCCCGCCGGACGGCACCGTGCTGGTCTCGGTCCAGAGCTCCGGCTCAGAGAACAGCTTTTTCGACGACACCTTGATCGACGAGCTGCTGCAGCAGTTCACGAGCTTCGGTGAAGTGATTCTCATCCGGTGAGTGGGACATTTCTGTGCAGGAGCAGCTCGTGATTCATAGATCGTGTTTTCTGTATTCGAAATTATCTCATTTTAGTGTTTGAATAGTATACGAATATTTTTATTTTCAAACTATAGGAAAATTATACTACAGAAATGAACTCATAGGTTTTAAAACTGAAATCTCTACTTAGAACATTTAAGTTGAGTAGTGAACTCGATATGGATGATTGATGACCAAATGCGTGCACACTTAGATGCCATCTCTGAGGCCCCTGGCTGTACAGCTCATGCGCCCTGTGACGAATGAAGATGTTACTACTGTTTTATTTTTTAAAAGACAGTAAGAGTAAACTGGAGTGATATTTTTTCCCCTCTTCAGTTTAAGAAATTTTACGTTTTAATTAGTTTTAACTCATTTCATTTTCAATTAAGGTCACTGGCCGATACACACACAGAAGTCATGCATTTCCTTGCATTTCCTGAGTCCTTGGGTGACTCAGCCTTCTGCTGAGAACCAGCGCCTCTTTGGTTGTGTAGAAAGGGGTCCTCTTCCCAGTGCAGGGCAGCTTTGAGAGTTCCATGGGCAGAGGCGCCTTCGGTTTCTTCTGTGTCGTCTGTCTGCACACTGAGGTGCTTCATAGGGGTCTGGTGCCACATCTTCGTTAGGTGCCTGGGAAAGCAGAGGGGAAACTGGACACTCGAGTCCTGTTCGCAGTCTACGGGGAAGGTCAGCGTGTCGTGGCTTCCCCAGTTCACAGAGTGGAGGTGGTGCGGCCTGTCGAGTGAGAGCAGGCCTCAGAAACCCAGAGCGTAAACGAGAAATGGAAAAGTAACTGTGATTAGACTTCCCAAAAGCTTAAAAATGAAACAAAAAATTCTCAAAATCTGAAGACTTTAGGAAGTCTACAGTGAAGTCTCCAGGGTTACAAATGGCCGTAAGCTTTGCCAAGTGCAGAAATGCCAGACCACCAGGAGCATCTCGTGGGCTGGGGCAGCACGGTAACAGATAAGTGCCCTTGGCGCGCGTGTCAGATGCTGCACTGGCTGGGAGGACCCACGGTGTACCCACGGGACGGAGACTGACACAGGAAGAGCCCGTCTGTCTTCACCACCTGGTCTCTGAAGGGCGTGGGGCTGAGTGGGAGCCAGAAGCTTTCCTCGGCATGCTTGTCGTTAGGAAAGGCACTGGGAACAGCACAAGGCCTGACACAGAGCCATGAGGTGCCTCCACAGCTGGACGGTGCTGGGGTCACTCCTCCGGGCAGCCAGTCGGAAGAGAAAGGACTCCTGTCACCGGGAAGACTAAACTGATTATCACCTTCGGTCTAGAGCGAGACAGCCACCAAGGAGTGACTGAAGTCTGAAGTCCCTTACATATAGATAGGAGGCTCCCTGGAAACAGGGATGGCCCCACTTCAGTGTGTCTACATACTTACCGTGATTGGAGGAAAACTCTAGAAGCTTGTACCTTAGTGAGTGAGGGGGAAGAAAATGCAGCTTCTAAAAGACCTACATAAATCCATGGCTGTTAGAACCAGAATCTTTGGTTAAGTTAGAAATGTGAGAGGCACATTGTAGTTAAGAGAAGGACCAGGAGACCAGCCCTGCCATGTGACCACAGGAGCTCTGGCCCGGCAGACAGCCCCCTGTGATGGGGGCGGGCCAAGTGCAGCCCTGTGGGGTGGAGGAATTCTCCACGGTCAGCAGTTTGAAAACGGTCTTCATAATGCCTAGGTAAGAGTGGCTTCTCTGTCTTTGAAATGACAGCATACGGCAGCTTCATAACTGGGTGCAAAGAAACTGGGCATGTCTGAGTGATCATAGGAATCTGTTCTGGGCCTTTGATTTAAACTGCAGAAGGTCATGGTGCACGTTTTTGCTTTTAGCCTTTTCCTCTTAATATCCATAATTTATACTTTTGAATCCTAGGTTAAGTGTGTGTGTGTGTGTTTATACATGGATGTGTTTTCTCTCCCATTGAAAAATCTGCAGGGATTTCTGAACTTGATTTATACAGTTGGGAGTATTCCAACTCAAAGTTGCTTCTAAATAAGACTGACATTGTTACATATCAGTGACCATCTTCTTCAGAACTTATCCTAACGTCCTTTTTATTTTTCACTCTTGGGATTTCTTAGTTCAAAATTATAAACTTAGAATCATAGCAGAGGCTCTTGAAGTCCAGACAGTCAGTGGTTGTCCTTGAACAAAGACAAGGACCCTAAGCTGTGGCTCCCTGGGGGTCTGAGCGAGCCGACAGGTAAATGGGTCTCACTGAAGGCTCCTGTCTTCTCTCTGGGTCAAAGGAAAGTTGCTCAGGGAAGTCACTGAGGCAGCAAAGTCACATCATGCTGGGTGGGCTGGGGTTCAGGAGCCTTGGACGCCAGTTCTCAACTTACTTGCCTGTGAGGGCACTTGGAAGAAGCCATTTAACCCCCGGCCCTTCCCTGGCCGGTGAAGGGCAGGATGGGATGTGCAGAGTCACAAATGGCAGGCGGTCCACCGGCCTGCTTCCTCTGCAGACTGTGGTAGCCTGGTGTTGGAAATTCATTTGAATGGGAGTGCCTGGGGGAAGAGCGCCCTCTCCAGGTCACTCCCCGCCCTGCTGCTCGCTCTCCTTTTTACCCCCTGGCCTCCAGAGGCCCTTTTCATCCACAATCATCAGACTAGTCACTGCGCTAGTTAGGTCTAATGTATCAGTTACGTTTCTTTTACTGTTTGTTTCTCTCTTTCTTGAAGGTTTGTAGAAGATAAAATGTGGGTTACATTTTTGGAGGGCAGTTCTGCCTTGAGTGTTCTAAGCCTAAATGGTAAAGAGGTAAGGAGGTGCTATTTACTGATTCCAACTTCTGTGATTAAGTGTCTGAGGTTACATTTTACACACGCAGTAAGAGTATCTGTATTTCCAGGTCCAGAGAATGAAAGGCCTCACAGAGTTCTTTAATGTTTATTATTTAGACTAGGTTTCTAACTCAGGATTATTTTGGTTGTTCCCTAGAGATATTAACCATTGATTAGATTAAAAAGAAAACGTGTACCACCTAATTTGATTTTAATTATGTTCTTTTTAAATCCTCACCCGAAGATATTTTTTCATTGGTTTTTAGATAAAGTGGGAGGGAGGAAGGGAGAGAGAGAAGGAGAGAGAGAGAGAGAGAGAAACATAGATTCACGAGAGACACAATTGGCTGCCTCCCTCACAATCCCAAGAGGGGCTGGGGATCAAACCTGCAATCCAGGTATGTGCCCTTGACTGGGAATTGAACCTGAGACTCTTCCATTCACAAGCCAATGCTCTAACCGCTGAACCAAACCAGCCAGCGCTGATTTAAATTATTTTTTTATATAAAATCTTTTTAATTCTTTTTTTTTTTTTTAAATCCTTACCCAAGGATATTTTTTCCATAGATTTTAGAGAGAGTGGAAGGGAGGGAGGAAGGAAGAGGAGAAGGAGAGAGAGAAACATTGATTGATTACCTCTTGAACGCTCCCCAGACCAGGGCCGGGGGTTGAACCTGCAGCCCAGGTATGTACCCTTGACCAGGACTCAAACCTGCGACCCTTTGGTGTGAGGGCCAATGCCCTAACCACTGAGCTGGGGCAAAATTTTAAATTCTCACATTTGAATGCATACTCTGGCTCATCTATATAGTAGAAAAGATTTTTATGAAATTCAGAAAATGCCCGGTCAGTGTTAACCAAGGAGCCTTGTGGCTCTCTGCAAGGTTTTTGAATGTATTTTTTATTACATCAGTAGGTCAGGGTAACTTGAATATAACGTGTTGGTGGTTTTACATTATACTTTCATCTGAAAGCACTCAAAGTTACTGGTCCTTTTACAGATGACAGTCATTTGGTTTGCAGAACAAGTCACTTGTCAGAGATTCACAGTGGGTATTCTGACCTCTGACATGCTGAAAGCACTTTTGCAGTACAGCAGTTTTCAAGACCTGTAGGCCAGGCCGGGGCGTGCTGCTGCCGCCTCTGTATCCGACTCACACTGGAGCAGGTGCCATCCGTGCATCAAAGCCAAAGGAAGTGTGAGAGGATGGAGCCAGGCTGTCAGTGAATTGCCGTCCACCTGGGGAAGGAGCTGGCAGCAGCAGAGGAAACTGCACGTGTCCTAGGGAAAAAGGCCTTGATCGAGAACAGGCTTGGAGAGGAAGAGGGAATGTTCACACGAATGTCCCGCACCTGTGAAGCGGTTACGTCGAGTTAATCTGGCTGAGCTAAGCCTGTACAAGAGAGTTCATTTTCATGCCAATGACTTTTCGTGTTGTATCTCTTTTACTCGACTAGTTGTTGGGCCGGACCATAACCATTACTTTGAAAAGTCCCGACTGGATCAACACTTTGGAAGAAGAAATGAGTCTAGAGAAAGTTAGCGTGCCACTGCCGTCCTCAACCAGCTCCACCCTGCTGGGCGAAGATGCGGAGGTGGCGGCAGATTTCGACTTGGAAGGTTTGTTACTGAACATACACGCATGTAATTCTGTACGTGTCCCTCCCGTCCGTGTCCACGCTCATCCTGGTCACTTCCTATAGAAGTGCAGTGTTAGACTTCTTTCCGCGTTGTGCTGTGTTTATTTTGGCTGTGCCTAGACTTCAGATGCATTAGCCACTCTGCCTCCGAAGGTTAGGGCCCTTGCAGATGCCCGTGTGTCGTGCGACAGGAGCACAGTGGAGTTCCTGGTGGGTGGTGGGGTCCCGCTGGTGGCAGTGGAGGCAGGAGAGTGCTGTGCAGGGGCTGCCGGGAGCAGCCGTGAGCTCAGCAGCTACTGCACGCGGGGTGCACGCCACAGTCACTGCCATTCTGAAACCGACGTGCTTAAAACTGAAGGCCTGTGGAAACGCGGCCACTTCAGACTTAGCACGTGGGACAGGTTCTCTGGATGATATAATTCCCTTAAACGTGATTAACGAGTCGCTTTCTAGTGCTACATGCATGTTGTTCCAGCATGTTTCCCATTGCAGCGAGTGCCTCTGTTCACAGAGGGCCGAGCATCATGCTGTGATGCCCTGGCATCCAGACAGTGCACTTAAGTTAAGATCTGAACCCTTGCGAGATTGCCTCTAGTTCTCACCAGTCTCTGTTCCTTTGCACTTCTCAGCCCACACGTTCTATTGCACTTCTTATGTGTCGGGTACATGCTGGCTGCTGGAAAGTCAGCAGATGTCTTCCTTGCCCTCCCAGACCTCACAGTTCAGCGGTGTTACCCAGAGAGGCAGGCGGTTGCAGGCGGTGATGTCAGCGCAGTAGTGAGCAAGCTGGCTGTTTCCAGGAGAGTCGCCTTGCCTTCTCTCAGCCTGCCGGGATCCGTGCAACGCAGTGAACCTGCAACCACACGCTGGTTAGAGTGAGAGGGAGCTTTGCAAGAGAGCAAATGCTCCAGATCTCTGGACGCAGTCCCATTTATTTGCAGGCTGGTAACCCCAGGTTACAAATGGATTTAAGTAAATTATTTCCTTGAGATGGGTGTCACTGCATACACTCTAGCTTTGTCTCTTGCTTTTTACGTGAAACCAAAAGAACAAACCCTTATTCACATGCAAATGAAGCACCTGGTACACCTGGGCCAGGCCCCCCACCCCCACCCCCAGCTAGGATTTTGAGAATGTGTTAACACAAGGTTGAGAGTGCTTAACACAGGGTTTAAAAACCTCCATCTTCCAACCCCACATCGCCTCACTTAGATTTGGGAAGTGGAGAAAGGTATCCCAGAGGAGTTGGAATATAAACTGACAATCTGAAGATGGAATGAGAATTAAATTCAAGAGGGTTGCAAGAGTGAGCCAGGAAGAAGGACTGTGCCGGGTTTTGGGGACAGGATCTCAGGCGATGTGCAGGTGCACGGGTGAGGGTGCACAGGGAGGAAGGTGGAGGAGGAGCAGGCGTGGGTGCAGGTGAGTACAGTGCGGACATGTTGGATGTGAGTCTGCACAAGGCAGCTCTGATGGCCCTGGAGCCGCGGTGTCGGTCTGCTTGGCCACAGGATGTGTGGAGACGGGGAGGCTGACCCCAGGACTGAATGCAGACACAGGCTAAGTGAGGGCCCAAGAGGGCTGCCCAGGACAGGAAAACAAGAAGGAGCAACCAGAATTGTCAGGAGGCCGAGAGAATGCAATGGCTTAGACATCAAGGACAGAAATGTAACAAGGAAGGAGTGGTTCGTGTGTCTTGTCACGAGGAGCAAGGCCTGCAGCTGTCCTGTGAATTGAACAGCATGCAGGAGGCTGCTGTGACCTTCCCGGGAGGCCTTGGTGGAGCGATGGAGCAGATGGTGGTGCCTGGAGGTGGGGTGGAGGTGTGGAGGGGCTCTCCGCAGCAGCTCTGTAAGGCAGTCTGGCTCGGGAAGGGGGTTGTTCCCGGAGAGGGTCAGGGACACTGTCTGCAGGAGGAGGTGCCCGAACATTCAGTGCTGGGGGGAAGAGCTGTCATGGGGAGGGCGGTGTGGAGATGGAGCGAGTCACCCAGAGTGGGCGGGGAGGTCCGAGAGTGCCCCCGTGCAGTCAGACTCCGCTGAGGGCAGGTCGTTGAAGGGGTTCCACCTCCAGACTTCCCTATGATGTGTAAGAGCGAGGTGATCAGCGGGAATGGGGCAACCCAGTTTCAGAGCTGAAAAGGTTTGAGGTAAAGCTCCCAAGCAGGAGTAAGGGGGAGAGCTAACCAGAAAATCCTGGAGTTGCCAGGCAGCTCTGGGAGCCAAATGAGGCTGAACACCCCATGTTGGATGTGCCCGCCTCACCAGGCTCTGGTTTACTCCAGCAGCTCGGCAGCCCGGGTGCAGCTGTGCAAGACCAGCCGGCAGCCTTGGGTTGGGTGCGGAGACCAGTGTGGCGGGCTGGTGCGGGCAGGTGCAGTGCCAGCGGCTCTAGGCCCGGTGCTGAAAAGCAGACTTGGATGGGGGCCAACATACAGGAATCAGGCCAGCTCCTGGTGAAGCCAGAAGAGGAGGGAAGTGGGGAGACTGGAGCTGGGAGGCGGTCGAAGGAGGTGTTGGAGTTTGTTATATCAGAGGGCCTGCAGGTCTGTGTGGGGTTGGGGAGATGTTTGGAGTGGAGGAGAGTATCAGTGAGGGTAAGACCAAGGTATTTAGGTAGTTGATGAGTTGTCCACGTGGACTCTGATGTCATCCAGAAAGATGTCCCTCACTCACCGTCTTGCTCTCTGGTTGGTCCCCATTGAACAGGTTCAGCTTAGGGGAAGGGTGGCGGCGGACAGTATTGCAGCAGGGGGAGAACAGGGTGCTAAGTAAATTCCTGGTGGCATAGCCTCAAAGAAATAGGCCATTTGTCCATGAAGATCCATGTTCTTGAATTTGAATTAGGTTGCAAGGCCCCACTTTCCAGCCCTGAGGTCAGGAGAGAGGAGGAGGCCTGGGAGAACCAGCGTTCAGTTAAAGCAAAGAAATCCATGTTGGGTGGGGGCAGGGGACGCAGAAGAGGGGTAGTGAGGAGGCTTCTGGGAAGGGGTGTGGCCCTCTGAAAGCCTGGTCACTACAGGGCCACACCTGCAGTGAGGGCAGGGAGGGGACAGTGCCCTGGCAGTAGGAAGGGTGGAAGGACAGCAGGACAGCAGCCAGCTGCCCCCTGGGATGCAGGATGCCCTGTGTCAGCTCAGCTCCCAGTCTGGTCCCCAGCATCCTGTTGCTCTGAGAGTCTCTAATTATGGTTTCCATAGGAGCACTTGTACTGATTCTACTTTATACATACACATTTCTGTATATGCCTACATGCCTCATCGATGCATATTTTCAGTGTCATAATATTAACGTGCTATGTGTATTTGACCCCTTAAAACCAGGTGGGTGAAGAAAATGTCAGAGAGAGTTGAGCAGGTGCTGACTTGGATGACCTTGTGTTTCCATAGGAGATGTGGATGACGACAGCGCGGAGGTGGAGGGGATTCTTCCCCAGCATCTCCAGCCTTCTTCGTGCTTCGGCCCCGGCATGTCCCCGACCTCCTCACCGAGGACCAGCCCCTGCCAGTCACCTACGATATCAGACGGCCCTGTGCCCTCCCTTCCCATAAGACCAAGTCGGGCACCGTCCAGAGCTCCAGGGCACCCGCCTTCACAAAGTGCGTATCACGTTTAGAGTTCTGTGCCACCTTCCCTGGCGATGTTTGGTTTCAGATGGTCACATCCCTGTGCCTTCGGCGCCCCTGTGGAGAGTCGTTGTGTTTAACTGCCATTCCTGTGTACAGTGTTCGTGGTTCTGTGCAGACGGGGAAGGGCCTTGTGGGTGGAGCCCCAAGTGGAGGCAAGATTCACACCACTGTCACGAGGCAGCACCTTGTTTTCACCCTTGTTGCACCAGGCCAGCATGTCCCCGCCTTGTCACTGCCGGTTTCCTATGTTGTAGTAAAAAGCCATGCCGCTGGGACCGGCCCTCCTTCTGTGCCCCAGCTCTTCTCATGTGAAGGGGATGAGACAGAACAAAGGCTTTGAATCGAAGCGGTAGTCATTGCCCGTCTGGAGTTGGAAGGTTGTCTTTGAATCAAAGCGGTAGTCATTGCCCCTCCGGAGCTGGAAGGTTGTCTTTGAATCGAAGTGGTAGTCATTGCCCCTCCGGAGCTGGAAGGTTGTCTTTGAATCGAAGCGGTAGTCATTGCCCCTCCGGAGCTGGAAGGTTGTCTTTGAATCGAAGCGGTAGTCATTGCCCGTCCGGAGTTAGAAGGTTGTCTTTGAATCAAAGTGGTAGTCATTGCCCGTCCGGAGCTGGAAGGTTGTCTTTGAATCGAAGCGGTAGTCATTGCCCGTCCGGAGCTGGAAGGTTGTCTTTGAATCGAAGCGGTAGTCATTGCCCGTCCGGAGTTGGAAGGTTGTCTTTGAATCGAAGCGGTAGTCATTGCCCCTCCGGAGTTGGAAGGTTGTCTTTGGAAGCTGTCTCACGCGAATACATTGTTTCATGCTCACCGACATCTTCATAACATTTCTATTTTCTAAACATCTCAAGTTTCCCCGTATACTCTTAGCGGGCTGGCTTCATTAAATGAATTCAAGATAAGGTGAGGTGCAGAGCAGAGTAGAGACTCCTTTTCTTTTGTTTCTCTGCGGTCAGCAGACTGCAAATACCTTAACGCTTTTTGATGTCCTGATGGGTCCCTCAGTGAGTCTTCGTCAGCACCTGGCCCAGGCGAGAGTCCCTGCAGAGCGCACAGATTGCTCCTGTGGTACCAAGGGAAATATGTCGGCACAACTGCTATGTCACTGGTACTACGATGCGTGTGATTGTGCTACAGTGCGAGCTGAGGAAATGAGCGAGCAGAGACTTTGCCGGGCGTGTACGGAAGCACCGTTCCCCTGCGCCACACCCACCTGGCCTGCTCTTCTCACCCAGCTGCTTTTCTAGGTTCTCCCGGCGACACTCAGCCAGCAGCACAGCCGCAGCAGAAAGATGCTCCTCAGGCCCTGGAGCCCAGGCGGCCTCCTCCCCCCCGCCCAGCGGTTCCTCCCGCGAGGCCAGCGCCCCCTCAGAGACCACCTCCACCTTCAGGTAACAGACCGGTGTCCACTTCTAGACGGAAAACCCTCCTGATGCGATGGAAAACGTTTGCATGTTTCAGCTCTCTAGCTTCCAGCGTGTATTGTCTTTCGGTCCTTGCTGCTACTTCTCAGCTTTTCTCTGCAGACGGGGGAGGCAGGGCAGCAGGTGGAGTTTCCCACTGGTTCTGTGGGCTGTCTCCATGGCGGCCTTACACATGTGCACGTTTGTCCCTGCCGACTGGGCGCAGTGTGCTCACAGCTGTTCAGTGTGTGCTGGACTCAGAGACCACACGTGTGCTGGTTTCCTGTGCAGTTTTACATATTTACTTAAACCAGTAACCTTTTAAAGCCAGTATGTGTTTTTTCTTACGTAACTAGAAGTGTTTGCATTAAAGAACAGCTTTTCTGTGACGCCCAGACACTAATGCATAGTCCCTGCCTGGCATTGACACCCGGTGACTGCAGTGCATCGTCGACGTCTCAGTGCTCACTAGTGCCGCTCCCTCTCTGCCGCGTCTCTCCTTGCACGCCGAGGGCCAGGGCCCTGCGCCTGCCGGGAAGGAGCTCGCAGGGAGCCCCGTTCATCGTGCGTGCGTCTCGGCTCACGATGCTTGGAGTTGATCCCTGTCACTGAAAGGCGGTGTAGGTTTGTTTGAAAGTCACAGTGAATGACATGTCTTTAATAGCTCCAAACTCCCATTCTGTTCCTGTTGAGTAAACGCCTAGAGCTTTTCTTTATTGGTGACTAGAACCCACAAAGGCTTCCCTTTCCCAGACAGACATGGTTGGGTTACTCACTAAGGCCTGATACACTTTCCTTAATAAGTATAGTCAGTTTGGTTACAAAGATTAAATTCCCCCAAATCATACCAATTTTAAAAGGGAGCTGTAGTGACTACAGAACACCCCCAAGGGTTTGACGGATAATGCTCCGTTTAGTGTGTGCCTTCGCCCGGCAGCTCAGTGCATTCCGTGGCCAGCAGAGTTGGGAGCGTGGCCCGCGGTGAAGGTGGTTATCAGCGGGCAGTTTCCCTTTGCGTGGCTTTGCCGTAGCTTGTCGTCAAGCCTCACTTCTCAATGTAAGGGCAGTTTTACTTTTTACTTTATTTATTTTTCTTTATTGATTTTAGAGAGAGGAAGGAAGAGGGAGAGACGGAAACATTGAAGAGAGAGAACATTGCTTGGCTGCCTCCTGCACGCCCCCCACTGGGGATCAGGCCCACAGCCTGGGCATGTGCCCTGACCGGGAATCGAACCGGCAACCTCTTGGTGCCTGGGTTGATGTTCAACCCCTGAGCCACACTGGCCAGGCACAATTTTACTTTTTAAATAAGAAAATATTTGCTAGATGGGTCACTTGGCTCACACAGAGCTTGCTGGGTACTGGGCGCTGTTGTCTCCCAGCACAGCTTCCACGGGGCCCTGCAGGCTGTCCGCCGGCTTGCAGAGCTGTCAGCTTCCCTGCTTCAGACTCCTGCCGCTATTTACATTTTCATGATAATTTCATTTGTATTTTCCTTTAATGAGGAAAACAACCAGTAGAAAAGAATTTTTTAATGAATTTGAGAAAAGTTACATCATAATAGTAACTCAGTGACTTACTTAGACATCTGATTAATTTCTAAAATTGCCTCACTTCCCAGTTGTTGTATAGGCAGTATGTTGGGCGTCCGCTCCGCCCTCCGAGCCAGTGTCCCCCTCAGGGCAGCAAGTTTAGAGAAGGTCCCCGTCGCACTTTTATTTTTTATTATTATTTTTTAATCCTCACTCGAGAACATTTTTCCATTTTTTATTCAGATAGAGTGGGAGGGAGAGAGCGAGAGAGGAACATCAATGTAAAAGGGACACATCGAGTGGTTGCCACCCACACAACCAACCAGGGCCAGGGACAAACTGCAACCAAGGTACACGCCCTTGGTGGGAACCGAACCCGGGTCTCTCTGAACCACAGGCCGACGCTCTAACGGCTGAGCCAAACCGGCCAGGGCTACCGTCGCACTTTTAGAGTGTGGAATAAAGAAGGCCGCAAACTGACTTCGGAGAGGCTGACAGTCTCGTAGAAACTGAGGATGAAAGTCTAGCTGACATTCTTCCTTTCGGGCTGCCTAGTACTGGAGCTCTGGGTAGCGATTTAACTCTCAGCATATAGGATGAGGTGGTCACAAGGAAAGACGTGGTTGGGTCCCTGCCGCCAGTACTCTCAGAGAGAAAGGAAGCCCTTCCCTCCACTCTTCTCCCGGGCGGAGGACGCAGTGTCGGATTGGGCGTCGAAGCCCTTTGGTTTGTATTGGTGGACTTGAAGAAGCTTAATGCAGACAACGAGCCTTTTTGCAAAAGTGAGTTTAACACAGAAATGGTCTTGTGTGCCTGCCATTCACTCTGCCACGGGCCCTGAGCAACGCTCAGCTTCTGCTCTTTCTCTGAGAAGGCGCTGGAGCCCGCCCAGCCCAGGGTAGCTGGGCAAGAGAGGGGAGGAACAGGCTGTGCGTGTAGCTCTGTGTGGGCCTCTGTCCTGGACGCTGCCCTCAGTGCTGAAGGCGTGTAAGCTTCTGAGGCCGCCTGCCCTTCCTGCCCTCCCGTGTGCACCTGTGCCTCGTCTCTCTCTCACCGTGCTGTCTGAGCTCTGATGGCTGTCCGTTCCGTTTCCCTGGGTTCCCATGCTGTTTGATGCTGTTTCTGTCTATTTCATATATGCTTCGGATGTAGAGTTACTGTCCAATGTTATTTAAAGAAAAATTCCTTCAAAATTCTTTTCAGAATAAGTTGAATATTCAGAAATATACTAACTCTGAACTTCTAGTAATTACAAATAAGCCCTATTAATTCAGGTGCAAGAATTATTTGTGAATGATTTCAGATAAACATTTTTATATGTAATGCTGAACTAAATTGGCTTAAAAGACCATTAAGAATAGAAGCCATTCATTAAGATTATAGTTGTTAAAGGGCTGATGTATTTCACATAACAACTGCAGTGAATTTCTTTTCAAAAAGAGTAAATTCAAGGTGCTGTATTTATTAGTCCCCCTGTTCCTTCACCTCGACCTTGGCCCACCTTCCTCATGAGTGTGAACCACATTTTACCACTTTTTTCTTAGGCAGATGTTCAGCGATGAGACATGCCTGTCCTCTGCCTTAATCATAGGCTTTGTCAGAGGACCCTAAGGAGCTTGTCCTACACCTGCCTTACCCACCAGTACATCTGCAGCTGACGCCCAGAGCAGTGTCGTTAGGAGCCCCTTGTAACCAGCTCTGTGTTCTCGGGAGCAGCTTCCTGGCCAAGCTCTGAGAGGCAGGGGCCACATCTCGTGAGCTGACCGCATGTTCCCAAGGCCCACAGGAGAGAGCTCTTTTGGAAAATCAGCTTGAAAGTGACCCTGTTATGAAGTATCAGACTGAGAGCTAAGTTGTCCCCCATAAAGGTCATGATAAGTACCCTAGTTTTTCTCCCTGGGGAATTTCAGGACTGATGATACCCTTCATCATTATCCAAAGCCAAGTCCTTGGTCAGCATCTCATGCCCCTTTTCTGCCGGTGAGGAGACAGGGCAGCCACCCAACGTGTGAGGATGCTGTGTCGTGTGCTCATGACTCTTTTCTTTTCTTTTCTGCTTCGAAGCACCCAAAAGCCCTGGGATGACACGGAAGGAAAATATAGGTAAAAACACTTGAATTGAGCTACTTACCTCAACACTAGACCCTGACTAGACACTCGGGACGTGGTACGTGGCTCCTTGTCTCTCTATGAGATGCTCAGTTCATGTTGTGTCTGTGTTCCAGGGTGCGGCCAGCCTCCGCCTCCTGTGGGACCCACAGGCCCAGGACCTGCCGGACCCAGCGCAGCCCGACCGGTAGGCAGCACCTGCCCGGAGCAAGAGCTCTGAGTTCTGGGTCCCGGTTTGCTCCAGCCAAGGGGTTCCCTTGGAAACAGCACGTGCCCACCCAAGGCCTTGGCATCTGTGCGGGAGATGTGGTTGGGCAGCGTCTTATCATATTTCCTGAGTAGCTGATGAGGACATAGAAGTCATCCTCCAATAAGAATAATTTTTAAATTCAATTTCAGGAAAAAGATTTATGATAGAGTCGGGAACTAAAACTGCTGCTCAAGGTGGTGAAAGGCGGAGAGCAGAGCAGGCCCAGGGCTTGTCCCCATGTCCCCGTGTGCTGCTGTTCACCCAGCAACAGTGCTCTCTGCGTGTGACGTTAGAACAGGGCTTGTCCCCGTGTCCCCGTGTGCTGTGCGCATTGTCCGCTGTTCACCCAGCGACAGTGCTCTCCGTGTGTGACGATAGAACAGGGCTTGTCCTCGTGTCCCCGTGTGCTGTGCGCATTGTCCGCTGTTCACCCAGCAACAGTGCTCTCTGCATGTGACGTTAGAACAGGGCTTGTCCCCATGTCCCCGTGTGCTGTGCGCATTGTCCGCTGTTCACCCAGCGACAGTGCTCTCTGCGTGTGACGTTAGAACAGGGCTTGTCCCCGTGTCCCCGTGTGCTGTGCGCATTGTCCGCTGTTCACCCAGCGACAGTGCTCTCCGTGTGTGACGATAGAACAGGGCTTGTCCCCGTGTCCCCGTGTGCTGTGCGCATTGTCCGCTGTTCACCCAGCGACAGTGCTCTCTGCATGTGACGTTAGAACAGGGCTTGTCCCCATGTCCCCGTGTGCTGTGCGCATTGTCCGCTGTTCACCCAGCGACAGTGCTCTCTGCATGTGACGTTAGAACAGGGCCTGTCCCCATGTCCCCGTGTGCTGTGCGCATTGTCCGCTGTTCACCCAGCGACAGTGCTCTCCACATGTGACGTTAGAACAGGAAGAAGGAAGGAAAGGGGACCAGTGATCAGTGACACAGGCTAGTCTGGTGGGCCTGGCATTGCTGGGAGCCTCCAGCTGAGGAGGGGGAACTGGGACCTGTTACGGTAACTAGAAATTAATCAACTTCATCTAATGAAACCACTTCTAATTTCTAATATGACATTCTGATAGGATTTCTAAGATAGAACTGTTCTGTCTTTTCTCTCGTAGCTCTCTGTAACACCCAGCCTCATGTCCTTTCTGTATGTCACAGTGCACAGTGTCTGCGGAATGTGCCTTGACACCCTGTCCCCACTCCTGCTTTCGGAAACACGGGAGATGCCTGCTCGCTCACTCCCACACTTCCCACAGTGCTTTCCAACTGCTCACTGCTCAGGGGACAGGGAGGGAAGTCTGGGTTCTGTGCGATGCATTCATGACGGTTACGTAAAGTGAGAAGGCCCGGGGGTTAGAGCCGTCAGCACACGTATGAAAATAGGGAATACCAAAGGTGCTGGGCTCCATTCCGTTAGGCACATTCCCGGGTTTCGGGCTGGATCCCAGATCGGTGCGTATGGGAGCCAACCAGTGGATGTTTCTCTCTCACAATGTTTCTCTCTCTCCCTTCCCTTCTCTCTAAAATCAATGGAAAATATCCTCAGGTGAGGATTTAAAAAGAGAATATGTTTTTCAGCTGTGTGTCTTCTAGTATGTCGAACTAGCAGATTGAGTTAGTCATTCGAGGATTTTACTTCTGTGTATAAAACAAAGCCTCAATGTGGTTTCCCATAAGCCTCAGCTGCTCGGGCTGCGTCTCTGCACCTGCTCGGAGCTGTGCAGCATGTCCAGTGTGAGGGACGTGGTCCGGCAGCTCCCCACCCCTCCTCACACTTGCTCATGGATCCTGCCTTCATTTGAAAGCTTTGTGGCCTCGGAAGGTTGTATGCATGTCTGGTCTTAATGTAAGATAGAGATGGGAAAACAGTGCCTCCCTCTGAGGGGAATTTCGAAGATGAAATGCTTCTATTGTGTTTAATTAACACAGGGCTTGCACGTAATAAACAGTGAACAATAAAAAGGAAGACTTTGAACCCCGCTGGCGTGCTCCGTGGATGGAGCGTGGGCCCATGGAGTGAGAGGTCCAGTTTGATTCCCGGCAGGGCACATGCCCGTGCCGATCCCCAGTAGGGTGTGCAGGGAGTGCTGATCGATGTTTCTATCTCTCGCTCTAAAACATCAATGAAACGTATTTTTTAATAGAGGACGACTTTGAAACTGATGTATAGCCCTAAATAGAGAACAGTTAGTTAGCACAAGGCGCTGGGAACTGCCCGAGAGGAGATGAAGGAGGCGCAGACGCAGAGGTTTCCAGCTTCCCTGTCGGAAGTGGCGAACTCTGAGCGTGCTCCCTTCCCTTCAGGTGATCCCGCCCCGCGCAGGAGTCATCAGCGCCCCGCAGAGCCAGGCCCGGGCGTCTGCAGGGAGGCCAGCCGCGGACAGCCAGAGCAGAGCCCCGGAAGACCCGAGAGGTAGGCACGACACTGAACACCCAGGGAGGAGACCCAGAGCCTTGTCCGGGTTACCAAGGGGGGAGGGCACTAAACACAGTTTCCCAGAGAACACCTAACCTCGGAAAATGACTCGTAGGTCCTGCTCTTCTACCTGAACCGCTGAAGCCTCAGGCCGCCGTGCCTCTGCAGCCTTCTCTGCCCCCACCTGCTCAGAAGATGCAGGAGCCTCTGGTCCCCACAGCAGCACCGCTGTCTCAGGTGGCCCCCCAGCCGCCGCCTCGGAGCAGGTCCTCGCACAGCCTGCCTCCCGAGCCCACGCCGCAGCCGCAGCCGCAGCCGCAGGTGAGTCCAGGGCGTGGTGTTGGAACACGCTCCTCAGTCACTAGCTTCTACAGAGGATAGACAGTACCCGGTTTTATTTGTTTTTCTTTGTGCTTTTTTTTTTTCTTTTATTCTCACTCGAGGACAATTTTTGCATTTATCTTCAGACAGAGCAGGAGGGAGAGGGGCGGGGGAGAGAGAGAGAGAAACATTAATGTGAGAGAGACACGTTGAGTGGCCCCCACCCACAGGACTCCAACTGAGGTACGTGCCCTTAGCAGGAACCGAACCCAGGTCTCTCTGGTCCACAGGCGATGTTCTAACCACTGAGCCAAACTGACCAGGGCTCTTTGTGCTTTTTGATGGTAATAGCATCCTAAGATATGACTTCAACGCATGAGCATCCTTTGACATCTCAGATTAGCCTAGCGTGCTCTAGGGTTTGGCTTTTTGTTCCAACCTGCTGCTTAGACGGAGGTCCCTTGGAGAGCGAGCCTACGCTAGTCCCGTAGGGAGTCCAGTGGCTGCTAGCTCGGAAGGACTTGTGACTGCTTTAATGCACACTTTACTTTGGGTAGTAAATAAATTAGAATGAGAGGCCGTAGTTTACTTTTTTTACTGCTTTTGCTTATGGCTAAGACATTAGTTTGGGCTCTTGCTTCCTGGAGAGAAGGCAGTGAGGTCAGCCCCTGGCCACTGGCCAAGGGGTTCATCACTCATCACCAGTAAAAAGAATACTGCCTGTATCCCTGCTGGTTCGAGCAGCGTTCTTTTCTGTGCTGGAGGCCCTGGCTTCTCCAGGGAGCGGAGACAGTTTCAGTCCCGTTGGAGCAGATCGGGGCTCGAGTGCGTAGCAGCAGGGCGAGTCCCCAAAGGGAAAACCCTAAAGTGCTGTCATCTCGCGGTGCTAGAAGACAGTGCTGTTGCCTGAGTGGCTGGAGATGAGAAGAGCAAGGGCCTTGGTTATGCCTGAGGGACCTCACCTGGCAGAGACTTCTGATCCCGCATTAGAGGTATTTTAATGCAGGAACAGTCCCACAAGGTAGATGGTTTCTTTTTATTTGGGTGCTGTTTTACCTAGTGTTCGTTATATCCTTTCCAGTAAACTTTTTAAAGTAAAATTATATTTAGGAAGTACATTTTCTGTTGTCTAGCCTTATGTTTTATCTTATCCTAAAATTTTCACTTGAAAATACCATCAAGATCAAAGAAATGTGTGAAGTTTTAAAAGTCTGCTTTTAAACTTTGGGAAGATCTGAAATACAGAAATGCACATACTGGCACTGTCCCTTGCCCACCTTGATGAGTTCTAGTTGCATTTGCTCTGACAGCTGCCTGAGTGTGCCTGGCTGGGTGGCAGAAGTTAGGTTTTACTTCTACACAATGAGAAGAATATTAAAGTGAACACGACTTAAGACAGCGTGGATATTGTCAGCAGTGGGCACTTACTCAGACTGTTGTCCGCTTCTGTAAAGCTGAAAAAGGATATCTAATCGAGAAGGATAATAGGTTCTCTTAAGCTAATGAATACCTAAAAGTATTCTACGTTTTTTAATTCAGAAATTGAGGATCCTGAAGATACATAACTGTTCACTGTTCTTTTCTCTCCGAGACTTGTTGTGAGCATGACTTTTTATTCTCGTTTCCTTGTAAGGTGTACTGCTGTGTTTTAAAAATGTAATTGGAGGGCAGAACCCTCTTGGACTAGCCACCTGGGAGCTTTCTGTTGTTTCAGGACAGAAAGTGAGTGTTCCTTTCACAGCAAAGTGAGCCTTCTTCCCCGGCGTTCAGAACGGTGTGTCCCCTTCCAGTGAAGTATAGGCGAGCGCAGGGGCTGTCCGCCTAGGGTGACACGCAGCAGGAGCTCGCTGTCGTTCACGTCGCCTGTCGTAGGAGAACTGGCTTTGTCAACCGACGTGGCTTCGCTGCAGGTGGAGAGCCCACCTCGCACTGAGGACTCCCTGGCCTCCGAAAGGCTGCGGAGAGAGCAAGCTGTCACGGTGCGGCCTCCAGTGGAGGGCATCTCGTGACACAGCTGCTAGAGGATGAACACTGCAGTGACTGCCACACGTCATCGGGTCAGCTCCGGTGCCGACTCTGGGTTCAGTGGCTTGGCTACAGTGCAGGGCCGACAGCAGGTGCTCTGTGTGCGGCCTGGCGGGTTTGCGCTCAGATCTTGTATTCAGGTCATCAACTACCGAGATGTTGTTTTCAATTCTGAATATTCTTTTTGCCTCAGTCTTTGATAGCAAACCCCTCCGAACAGTATATGCACAGACACGCTCCTCTCTCCGGGGTGAGGTCTTCCTCATGTCCTGGGGGGCTCCAGTTTTCCTCCCGCAGGCTGTGTGCTGGGAGCAGAAGGGAGGGGAGGTGTTTTACCTTTTTGTACCTTTTGAATTGAAAGAAAAATGCCTATTCAAAAAAATAATAAACATTTATAATTTAAAAAATTTTCCACAGTGGCTATATTATGAAAAGGATGAGATTTTAAAGTACAACATATTTTTGGTAAAATACAAAATAGTGTTAGAATTGAACATTTAGTAATTCTAACGTGTCTTTATTAACTCTGCCCCGAATCTAAAATGTATTTGAAACATAAAAACATACATGACATAGCTTTCTTTACTTTTTATCACTATTTGAATGTTTTTCACTATAATTTTGTATAGAAAAGATTCTCTCAATTCAAATGATTATATAACGTATTATATATTCTTTACAAAATGTACCAATGCCTCACTTGTCTGTCTGACTCAGTCGGACGCCTTGGTCACCTGGCGCTCAGCTCAGCACTGAGGTCAGCGCAGCAGGCGCAGAGGAAGTGTTGCTGCGGGGCTGTCGCCACGAGAGTGGCCCGCGAGAGGGCAGAGCAAGCGGGTCCTGCCAGCGTCCTGCGTGTGCTGCCCTCTCCACGTCTTTGCATAAGCCCACTCGTGCTCCCGCCAGGGCCAGAGCTGAGCCTCGGAACCTGAGGGCCCCGGGGGAGTGAGTGGCCCCTGAAACCCAGGAGCCTGTGGTGAGGCAGGAAGTCTGAGCATACTTACCGCACCGTAGAAGGGTGTCGGAATTGTCAAAGTGCGTTTTGGCATTTAAAATAAGGTAAGCTTTAGACATTGGGGAAGATGTGCTCAAAGCTGCTTCCTGAAAATACTGTGTTAAAACAGTGCTTTATTGCAGAAAGAGTGTTTAAAACAACAAAAGCAGGTCCAATTCCGTAGCGCGGCACCTTCAGTTGATGGTCTGAGGCAGATACTGAGTGTCGGCCTTCAGAAAAGGCGAGGGCAGAGAGCAAGCCTGGGCACTGGCCATTTTGTTAAAATAAATACTAATTTTCACTTTTTTTGCAAAAGCTGCCATTCTGTACATGTTCTGTCATGACGATAGCCCACAGGCTGTCCGGGCTGTCCTCCTCTCCTTGGCCGCCACCAGCTGGCGGCCTGACCGGCGGGAACTTGTTCTCTCGCAGTTCGGGGCCAGCGCCGTGGGGTCTGGCGAGCGCTGCCTTCCTGGCTCGCAGACAGGTGCCCTCGCCCCCTCGCCGTGCGCACGGCCTCCCTGGGCGCTGCTCCCAGCGTCCGCGCGGCGGCCTCCGAAGCCCCTCCCCAGCACCGCCGCAGTGCGGGTGGGGGGGTACAATATTTCAGAGCTTTGACAACCTATTTGGATGATTATTCTTGGAATAAAAATACTTTGAACCCGTAGGTTAGTCGTCAACCTCAGACAGAGTTAAAGTTTGAGCCCTAATTCAGCAGCAATACGTTTTCATTCAAAATTACGAAAGTAACTGGAATTGTTGCTTGAATTTATGCACATAGCACGGCTCTCAGATCGTGGATATAGTGCAGAACGAGATGTAGCTTGAAGGCTGGGTTGTTAGGGTCGCGGGCTGGTCTCAGATTGTCCTAACGCTGTCCTTTGATGTCTGTTCCCTCTCTCAAAGCAGGAGCAACCGTCAGGGTAACAGGTATTGAATTCTTTCTCAGTCTCCTTGTGCTTCCCGTCTGTCCTAGCGCATTGGATGTATGAACCTTGTGCTTCATACATCTGAAGTTTACCATTTGTAAACCACCTGTCCACATTAATACATTCTACTGTCATACCATAAAACCTGCTTTTTTTCCTCTTAGTATTTTGAGTTTTTAGGAACCATTTTAGTTGTTCTTGCTAATGCTTTACCAACCATATTTTGCTTTGTTTTTAATGAAAATTATCAAAACTAAAAAGTATAACTTCAATAAGGTAAGCTTTATGTATATGCAAGTATTTGACAACACTAAATTGATTCCTGGCATAATTAATTTTTTTCTTCGGTTTCTTTTGGGAAAAAATGTTTTCAAATGATTTTATTTGCAGGATTCTTTTTAGTAAGGAATTATCAATGATTTAGAAAGATGAAAGTTAATATAATAACAGGATTATTTAAAGGTTCTTCCAACACCCTTCTCTGTAAAAATATCACCGTTTTTAATGTGAAGTCATCACAAATCCTTTGTAGGTTATAAATTAATTCTAAAATAAAGAATGGTGGGTGGCTGTCATAACTTCAAGTCTAATTGGGCAAAATGATCATGCTTCTACCAAATTATCTTCAGCTTATTCTGAAAACCAAATTTCTTAAACATGAAAATAAAGATATTTCAGTGTCTAGCATTTGCTTGGCGAGGGCCTACTGTCCTGAGCTGTACAAAGCATAAATTCTCCTTTCCTGTAGCATCTGTGTGGTGGGCTGTTTTATCTGCCATGGGAGAAATCAAGAACTTCTGTTTTGTTATATTAGTCATAAACAATCCAAACGTTATTGGCACTGTAGAATTAACTGTAATTTCATGATGTCTATAATACATTTATCTCTAAAGTAGATTTCCATTTATAGGTATGCTTACCTTTAATCTACTTAGAAAACACTTTGGAGTCTATGACATGTTTACTCTTTAATTTTGTACAAATTTATTGTCATTAATTTTGAAGAAAAATATACTTATTCAATTGTAAAGCATGTTATAGGACAGTTGAATAAAACACTAATTCTGTTTTTAAATTTTTTTTTTTTTTTTTATCATCCTCACCCAAGGACACCTTTCCATTCTTTGTTCAGGTAGAGTGGGAGGGAGAGAGAGGAACAGAGAGAGAAACATCGATGTGAAAGGGACACATCGAGTGTGGTCGCCACCCGCACAACCAACCAGGGCCGGGGACAAACTGCAACCGAGATACTTGCCCTTAGCGGGAACCGAACCCGGGTCTCTCCGGACCGCAGGCCGACGCTCCAACCGCTGAGCCAAACCGGCCAGGGCTAAAACACTAATTCTTGAAAGTCACTTATGAAGCTGTCGTCCCAGCCCCTCTGCAGGTGCACAGCCCCCCGCTCTTCAGCGCTGGGTTAGGGATTGAGAAGGTCCTTCATGTTTTACGGGGGGTGCTGCTCTTCTTCCAACGCAGTTCACGAACGTTTAGTTATTGAGCAACTAAATTCATCGTGGGTAGTGCTTCGTTTTGTTACATTGCAAGTCTTGAGCTAAAATTCTCCCTCTTCTGTTTTTTTCAACCCAAAGGTTTGTTCCTTTATTTTTAAATTCAGCATCAATATCCAAGTCATCCACCTAGTTTTCAAATGAACATGAAGTACCTGATGAACTAATCTGCTCCTGTGGCCGGGATCATAGTTCTGTTCCCATGAGAGAAGGTGGTGGAGCTCAGTCCTGTGAACAGGCCCAGGCTCCCATTGGCGTGTGACTGTGACCCTGACCCAGTGCCAGTTCACAGACAGCTCTGTCACATGGCGGGGGCTGGGCACCACTCGGCACAGCTGCACTTTGGTTTTAGGATCAATATACCAAATAGAAAATGGGATTTTTTTAAATAATGGGTTTTAAATCATTGTGTTTGATGATTAATAAGATATCTAGATGTTTTGGATCATTTTTACAAGATGATTAGGTCAGTTAAGGAATATGGTCACGCTATCCACAGAGCTGACTCCACAAAGGAGAGCTTGTGCTGAAAGGCAGAGAATGCTGTGGAAATTCCCTCCCAAGTGGAAAGGAGATGCATTCTCGCCAGCCAGGAGCACAGGTGTGCCGGGAGGCAGATGCTCGTCCGCAGGCCCACTCCATAGCCACCTTGCCTCGAAACGAGCGGCGGTAGAGAGAGTGATGCGCCACATCAGCATCACAGATGGGTGTTGGAATCTTACCTAGATTTAGCACACACAGGTTTCTCAAGTTTGTGCTGACATCCAGTAGAACTGGGCATGAACAGAACTCATCTGCTAATGCTGGACAATTCCATATCAATACTTGCATGAACGAAATAACCTCCAGTTAATAAATGGATTTATTTAGTTGGGAGTCTTTCAAGAATAAGATTTTAGCTGTTTTATCTTACTTAATCCAACAGATTAACAAGCTACAAAAGCTGCGTTTTATTTTCTGAATTTGTATACTTGCCCCCCAAATCGGGAATAATTGAGACAGAAAGCAAGCCCAGGGAGTATTAAGAGTGAGTCTGTTACTTTAACTTACTGTTTTTGGTTATTCACTGCTCTCTTTCCAGGTGAAAACCAACGGAGCCTCTGCTGTCAGACTGGAATCCCCCCTGAAGAGCGACCCCTTTGACGATCTGTCACTGACTCTGCTTGCTGCACCCAAGGCTCCGCCCCCTGTGCACCCAGCACCTGTCCTCCCCCCAGGCCTGCTGGGGCTGGCCCCGCTGCCCTCGGCCACACAAAGTAGTAGTATTTTGAGTTCTGTGAGTTGCTTGCCGACACTGCCTCCAATTCCAGCCCGGAGTAAATCCCAGGAAAACATGCGAGGTTCTCCAAACCCCTTCACTGCGAGCGTGGCCGGCACGAACCCCTTCCCCGACAGGACTGCCACTCCCCGAAACCCATTTAGAGCGGAGTCTCCGGAGTCCGGGGCGGCTCCGGGGCTCTCTAGGGAGGGGCCTGTTGCTCTCAGCCCCTTCCCTCCTCCGAAGCCGCTGGGGCACGGCGCCAGCAAGTCCCCATCTCCACCTGACGACTCCCAGGGCAGCTTCGGTCTGCAGGGCCAGTCTGCCGTCAGAATCGGCCACCCGAGAGGCTGGGTGACCTTCGAAGAAGAAGAGGACTTCGGTGTGAAAGGAAAGTTGAAGTCGGCTTTTCCAGACTTACTGGGTGAGCAGCCAGGCCTGTCTTCTGGCTCCGGCGTAGCCTCTGATGCCGGCTGGAGGAAAGGTACAGATGTCTCTGCCTGTGTGTTGCCATCACGAAGACCACCCCCGCCTCCCGGGTCCCTGCTCCCCGCTGGCCCCACCCCTCCAGCAGACCCTGTCACAGTGCCGGCTCTCACGCTGGACTTCACGGAGAGATAGTGTCCGGCCATGGAGACCGCTGGTCCTCGCTCGGGCGGGGCAGAGCCAAGCCAAGAGAGTCGGGCATGCATTCTTCATTATGTGCAATAAGTCGTTGCTGAGTGCACTGATGTCAGGAAATACCACTGTTTAATGTGCGCAGAGTTGGAATATGTGTATATTGGGAATAAGGAAAAAGTCCTCATTATTAACTGCAGTTTTGGTGCATTTCTGTTTGGATAACAGAGAGAGTAGTGGCCATAAAAAGTGCTCAAACTACTTTAGAAAATAGTCCTCATTCAGAAATTCTGTTATAGTCTTCTCTAAAGAATCTCCCAAAGCCAACAGCTTCTGGCGAACGTCACTGCGAGCTGCTCGCACGGTCCACAGCTGGCTTTTACAGGGTCTACCAGAGCTGTCGGAGGGACCCCGGAACAGGATTTTGAAAGGCGTTGCTTTTTACAGAAAGTGTGCGTACACATGCGTGCACTTGTGTGCATATGTGTACACCTACACGTTTGTAAAACTCACCATTTAAATTCTAGGATATAACTCAGACCAAATTTTTACCTAAAAGTTCTGACTGAGTTCTTTTTTCAGTATTTCATTATCAGAAGGATGTCTGTAAGTGAAATTTGGACATTTCTTCAATTTTCTTTCCAAAACTAGAATAATCCTTACCCCAGCACCAGAATGTTCTTCCCGTACACACATGCACGACACATCCTCCTCTCTCCATCCACCACCCCCCCATGAGCTCCCGCTGGGAGCAGCAGACTTGATGGTGACTGTCCTGTTACGGACACCCCAACCCTTTCCAAAGAGCAGATGGCCTTTTGTGTCGGGAAGGCACATACCACTGGGGTCAGTGAGAACGTGAGCGCCAAGTAGACCCTCCTCTGCGTGAAGGTACGTGCTGCCGGTTCCCTCCGCACCTCCCCCAGCTGCCTCGCTTCCAGCCTCCCCAGCGGGAAGCAGCAGCCCTGGGTTGCCCCAGCTGGGATCTTCCCGGGGCTGCGGAACACTCCTGTGGGCTGCTCTCCGCTCGGGCTGCTCCCAACTTGGGCTGCTCCTTGGCCTGGACTTCTCTCCGGTCCTGCCAGTACACAGCTGATCCCGCTTCGGTCCGCAATGCAGGCCCACGCGGCCTTCGTGCAGAATGCGGTGTTTGTACCGCTAAGTAATCCCAGTCGGGAAGCTCCTTGAGTGGCTGCTGGTTGTGAGTCTAAGCTAACGTCATCTTCACCCACTGAGTCTTCCATTCCGTCCCTTTTATATAGAGCTGTGTGTGTCCACCTACATTCCGTTGTCGCATGTACCTTTAAGGGTGTGCCGGGAGTGTCAGCAGCCAGAGCTCATGGCTGAGAGTATGTGAAGTTGAAAAGCACAGAGAACTGCATTGCTCTTAACCATGTGAAGCAAATCTATAGGGAAAAAGCACTTTCCTAAATGCTCAAATGTTATCAAAATACTCTTATTTATAGAAGCAGTCTCTCTGTTAGTCAGGATTTGCTATTAGAAATATACCTTGTAAGTTTTATATTGTGCTTTTTGGGGGTTCTAATCATTTCAGCATTGGTACATTTGAAACAGCAGTATTACTGTAAGCAGTGTGCGTTAAAAGGTCAGCTGACTCGGGACCGTGGCTTTAACATCTCTGTGAGCAGTGTGTGCATTCGCTCTCCATCAGCAAGCACCTCGTCATCCACCTCAGCGCAGGCCGGGCTCTGCGGGCAGCCCTCCCTGCGGACCAGACCACATGCCTGCAGCAGCTCAGCCTTGAGTGGGGAAGTCACATTTGCAAGTTGCTGAAAGTGCACAGTCGGGAGGGTAAAGGCTGCTGCAAGCAGCTGCCATCATTCTGTGTGTCACTGAGAATCACCAGCTCTGTCAGAAGCAAGGCAGAGGCCAGACACTAAGGATCTCTTTGTGAATTCTTTGTTCTCTATAGTAGATTGATGTTTATATGTAAGAATTTTATTGCTTATGTGGCATACAATATTTATAACTATATACTTTATAGAAGTATATATTAAGGTCAGTGGTATACAAACATTCTGTACATATCCTGTGAAATGTGCTGTCATATGAAATAAATATACCTGTCTTTACCATACTGACTACTTTGTTCAAAAAAGAATTTTTCTCAATCATTTTCCTTGATCTTTACTTACATATACAAGTTAGTGACATTTGGGGATTAATTTATTGTCAAATCAGGTATTTTAATTCAAGATCACATTTTCATCCATTTTACTTCTCCATATAATACTCTAAAAATAACAAGACAATGAGAATAGTAATCATCATTAAGAAGCCCATGCATGGGGGTGGGGGTCCTCAAAATCTTGTTGGCTTGAAAATAATACATGAAGCATGAATGATCATTTTCTAACCACAGCAAGAGATAAAGAGATGTGGAGGTTGGAGGGGGAGGACTCAGAGTGAAAATGATCATATGAATAAACAGACAAAAGGAGAGGCTGGCTAAAACCCAAAATAAGAGGACAGGCAGGGCCAGCAGTTTCTGTGAGCATTGTCTTTTTTCAGCCTTACATGATTGCTACTCCAAACTAACAGCCTTGACTTGGAAATAGTTATGTTCATGAACCTCTGAGAAGTTATAGGTACAGAATAATAGGCTTCTAATTTTTTTATTTTAAGATAATTTGAGATATATATGCAGCTGTAAGAAATAAGAGATACTATGTACCCCTTACCCAGTTGCTCCTAGTGGTAACATTTTGCAAAACCCAATTACAGTACAGCCCTGGCCGGTTTTGCTCAGCGGTTAGAGCATCGGCCTGCGGTCCAGAGAGACCTGGGTTTGGTTCCCACTAAGGGCACGTACCCTGGTTGCAGTTTGTCCCCGGCCCTGGTTGGGTTGTGTGGGTGGCAGCCACTCGATGTGTCCCTTTCACGTCGATGTTTCTCTCTCCAGCTGAACAAAAAATGGAAAAATGTCCTTGGGTGAGGATAAAAAACAACAACTCTAGGATAGTACAAAACATTTCCATCACTGCCGATTCCTCCCTCATGTTGCACTTCTCCCACTACCTCCAGCCCATCCTTCTTTCCCTGGTCCTTATCTTCTGGTCCCCACTAATCTATTCTCCATTTCTGTAATTTTGACACTTCAAGACTGTTACATAAATGGAACCATGTGGTATGTAATTTTTTGGAGGTGTATCAATAGTTCATTTCTTTGTATTGTTAAGTAGCATCGCATGGTATGGATGTACCACCGTTGGTTTAACCGTTCGCCCACCCACTGGAGAACAGCTGGGCTGTTCCCGGTTTGGAGAGACCTTTGCGCATGTGAGCAGGACCTCATGTTCCTGGTCTGGGTGCTCCTAGGTCCAGTATCGGCCTCGCAGCTTTCCCAAGAGGCCCGGACGGGCTTGGGGCATGCCCAGGCTTCCTGCCCCTGGAACCAACGCCAAGGAGGCGGTTTCCATGGAGAGCGCCAACGCTGCAGGGAGACCACGCGGCGGTGCTTGTAACACTCAAATCCACCCCTAGGGCCACAGCCGGCACGAGAAAGCCAGAGGTGGAGCCTGCAGCCCGGGCTCTGCGAGCGTCACCCGGCCCTGCACGGCTTTCCTTGCACCGGTCCAGACGGCAGCGCCGGCTCGGTTTCCCTGACACCTCCGTTTGGACCTGCCTTGTCCGTTTGAGTTTCGTTTCTTCTGTTACCCCGGATAGGAGCCCCCCGATACTGCGCCAGCACCTGCCCGGGCCACCAGCGCCTGGGCCGACCCCGTTCGGTAAGAGCGTGTCGGCTGCTGGCTGGCTGGACTCGTCCCCGGGCCCTCGGTGCCGAAACCATCGCAGCGCGTGCGGCGGGGGCGGGGGCGGGCACCGAGCGCGCCTCCCAGGCCTCCACGCCGGAAGCAGCGGGGCGTTCCCGGAAGGAGGCGCTGCTGGAGGCGGAAACGCCGCGAGACCGAGGGGCCAGGAGACCGCCCCGCCCACTCGTCGCCCCGCCCACTCCCGGTCTAACGGTCCCCGCCCCGCTGTCGTCCCGCGTGCGCTCTGGGCCCGCGGCCCGTGGACGGGGCGTTCCGCGAGGCCCTCGGCGGCTCTGTCTGTTAGGAGGTTGCCCGGACAACAGCCACTTCCGGGGACGGGGCGGGGCGAACCTGGAGCCGGGCTGGGCGGACGGGACTGGCCGGCGGTGGCCTGTGCGGGTAGTGGCCGGCGGCACCTGCTCCAGGTGTGGGTCGCCGGCTCCCCGCGCACGGCAGCTTCCCCGCCCAGGATTGGCCCTGAGCAGGTGGCCCTCAGGCTCTGTTTCTTTGTTGCCCCTGGTAACAGCCACTTCCGGGAGCGAGTGCCCCTTCCCCCTGCGCCGCGGACGCGGGAGCCGAGCGTTCCGGTCCGCAGCGGCGGTCGGTGGCGGTGGCCGCTGCCCCCGGACTCCCGCCGTCGGCCTGCTGGGCGCCATGGTGCTGCTGCACGTGAAGCGGGGCGACGAGAGCCAGTTCCTGCTGCAGGCGTCGGGGAGCACGGAGCTGGAGGAGCTCACGGCGCAGGTGGCCCGGCTCTACAACGCGCGGCTCAAGGTGCAGCGCGTCTGCTCAGGTGGGCCGGCGGCGGGGGCCTGCGGGCCGGGGTCTGGGGGCCGGGGGGCCTGCGGGCGGAGAGCCTGCGGGCGGGGGACCCGGGGGCCTGCGGGCCGGGGTCTGGGGGCCGGGGCCGGGGGGCCTGCGGGCGGGGGACCCGGGGGCCTGCGGGCGGGTTGGGGAGGGGCCTGCGGGCGGGTTGGGGGCGGGGGGCCTGCGGGCGGGGGGGGGGGGTCAGGGACCGGGGCCTCTCGGGCCTGCCAGGCTTGAAATGCGACACCAAGGGTCGCCAGTGACACCCCGAGAGCCGGTGGGCTGGGGTGGGACGCTGTGGGAAACACTGGAGCAGCTAGGACAGAGGGAAGAGCCCCAGGAGGGACCCCAAAGACAGGGCCGAAGAGCATGTGTGAGATGGGGGTGGGGAGCACTGGGCGTTCGAAGAGCGTGAATTCAGTATTTGGATGCCCCGGGAGCCAAACGAACAGCTCAGGTGTGAACCCCCTGCCTGTCTCTCCGGTGAGAAGATGCTGGGTCCCGGTGCCCTTTCCCTTCCTGGGACACCGAGCCTGCCCCTGGGTGCAGCGTCGTGGTCGCCTGCAGAGTGTCCACCAGCCACAGGTGGCCGCTGAGCCTCCAGCTGCGGCCAGCACAAGGCAGGAGCAGCATTTTACATTTCTTACTTCATTTTGATTGCGTCCAAACACTCAAGTGCAGCTGGTAGCTACCTCCTTGGACGCCGGAGCTTGACACGGTGCCTCTGCAGATGTGGTCAAGGAGCTCAGTGTCTCTATAGCTAGAGCAGGTGACGTGGGACCATGGAACTCCTTAAGGGTCCTGGCCGCTGTCTTTATGAGGCACACACATAGTTCCTAAAACGCACCGATTCCAAAACAAGCTCAAAAGCAAATGTTATTTCAAAATTAAAGCATTTAGGGGGAGAAAAGAGGCTCGACTTGTTTTTATAAAATTATCCATGGAAAATGTGGTGCTGAATGTCGTTAGGTTAGTGCACATGGAATCCCTACATTTATTCCGCAGTCGCCATTGTCGTCAGAGACTCAGACAGGCCCTGGGGCCAGAGACAACTTGCATGAAGGAGGCCCACCACGCCCTTCAGCTTCACCACTTGTCCTCTATTGTTATTCACAGACCACCTGGTGTCTTCACAGGTTATGGGGAGACCCAGGTCCCTGTGACCCTTTCTAGTTAAGGAAGAAAGAGAGGGGAAGGAAAAGGAAATGAAGAAGGAAACTTTGTAAGGTTAAAATATGGACTGGTTTGGGAGTGAATACATATAGAAAAGGAAACTATAAAGCCATCATTTGAATAGTGAACACGAACCTAGAAAACAAAGGATTTGCCTTGTCTCTGCCAATTCCTGGGGGTGCAAGCTGCCTTAAATCCTCCCCATTGGTTGGATTTACATAAATTACTTATGAAGTATTTACCTAAAGGTGTTTTTTTTTAATTTTTTTTATTTTTTATTTATTGGTTTTTAGAGAGAGGAAGGAAGAGGGGGAGAGAGATAGAAACATCGATGAGAGAGAACATTGATTGGCCGCCTCCTGCATGCCCCCCCCCCATCTGGCCCACAACCTGCGCGTGTGTCCTGACCGGGAATCGAACCGGTGACCTCTTGGTGCAGGGTCGACGCTGAACCACTGAGCCACACCGGCCAGGCTCCCTAGAGTTTTATGTAAAATAGCTGTTTGACTGAGCCAGCCTCAGATAATACGGCTGTAAGTCAGGTGCGATGAGACGTCTTGCTTACCTCACGAGGTTAAATGAACTGAGATGGTTTATGTGAACACACTTGGAAAGCCCAAGGCGGATGTATGTTCAGACTGTCCGTGAGTTTTCATCTGGGCCTCCTGTGTCGGGAGGTGCAGCGCAGCACAGAGGACCGGAGCTCAGAATCTGCAACCGGCTGCCTGTGACCTCGGGCGAGCTCCCCAGGTCTCTGCTTCCATCGACCTAGGGCAGGGAGGTCATTTGTTAAAGGTCAAGGATGGTCTGGCACACATCAAGCGGTAGCTAAGTGTTTGTTAAATAAAATCGGGGGAGCCAGGCAAGCCCCCGACCCCCGAGAAGGAAGGAGGCGTTGGGGTGACGACTGTGACACGTGCTCTTTGTCTTGTGGTTAAGAAATGGAGGAACTGGCAGAGCACGGTGTGTCCCTCCCTCCTAACATGCAAGGACTGACGGAGGACCAGGTTGAAGAGCTGAAGCTACGGGATGAGTGGGGTGACACGTGCGTGCCCAGCGGAGGCGCAGTGTTCAAGAAGGACGACATCGGGCGGAGGAACGGCCACGGTAACCCCGCCTTCTGCTCTGGGCCGGGACCTCGCTGCGTGGAGCCAGAGCGCTCACCCCGTTAGAGCAGAGCTCACGTTCCACAGGAGGTTAGGAGGTGCTGCCCCACGTGGCTTCTCGGGGCAACATGCCAGCCAGTGACTTAGTGGGTGAAGAGCACCCACTTCTTGCTCTTAGTTGCAGCTGGCTTTTAGATATGTCAGATGAGCCCTATGAAATTACCATTTCTGTGGGTCGCAAGTGATTGAAAATTGGCAATTTCATATGGTATAACCTAATAGTTTGGGGGGATAATCATTGAATATGTAGTGAAGGTTGTGTTCTGTTATGACCAGCAGAAAGGGGCTGTATTCAGAGATTCTGTGTGAAGGAAGGAAGTGAATGTCAGGACAAGGGTCTCCACCTCGGGGCAGGATGTCCTCTCTGGGGCAAAGCACCTTATGCCTGTCGGCACCAAGGTGATTCTGCTCCGTGAGTGTGGGCTGAGTGTGGAGGACAGAAGGGTGGTGACTCGTGTATGGCTTGTCCTTCAGCGGCACAGAAGCCCCATTTAAAAGACTGATCAATTATTAACAAACACGGAAGTATCCTCTGTGCCCCCAGAACACTGAGCGAAAGACACACACAGTGTCCTGCGCGGTCTCCCCACGCTCAGCGTCCTCGCAGCTGCTTGCCTTTCGCTCGTGAACACGCGTGCCGGGTGCCGGGCTTGTGTCGTCCTTGGACTTTACCTGGAACGCGGTTCGCTGCCTTCCGTCCCCGTTGGCACCTGACCCCGTTCTCAATTTGGAGAGATTCCTTGCTTCTAGAAGGAATTGTATCAATGAAAAGAAAAATCTTGTAAGAGTCGTAGATTTCTAGTGTTTTCAGTGTCTAATTGATACTGTTCTTAGGAAATAAGGTTTGAACTTTTCCATCTCCCTTAGCTTTGGGTCTCCATTTCCACTGTTTTTGTTTTTAAACTTTCGAGGTATGACTTTTTGTTCTTGCTGGGACTGGGCGGACTCGGCCCCAGGCCCAGGCGCGCCGGCACCCGTGCTCGTAACCGGGGTTGCGCCGGAGCGCGGCCCCCACGCGTCGACGCCACCTGAGGCTGGTGTGCTGCGGGGACAGGAGCAGCTGCAGGAGAGACTGTCACCTGCACGGCCTGGGGTGTCTCCTCTCCGCCACGCGGGAGGACTTGGCCAGCATCTGCCGGGACACGGTCCTGTCCTCTGCTCCGTGAGACGCTCACCCAGCCTCGCACCTCCAGCTCCGTGTCCCTCGCCCAAATCTGCACTTTGTCCCCTTCCACTGCTGCCCGGCTCTGACTGCAGGGCTCGGGGTATTTCAGGAGAGTTTGTGTTTGTTTGTTTAATTTATTGATTTTAGAGGGAGAGAGAGAGAAACAGAAACACTGATTTGTTGTCCGCTCACCCGTGCGCTCGCTGGCTGAGTCCTGCATGACCGGGACTCACCCCTAACCCGGGCGTGGGGCAGCGCTCCAGCGGCTGTGCTGCCCGCCAGGGCAGGGGCGTTTGTAAGACGGCTCTCTTCCTCTTCCCTTGTTTATATTTCAGCTCCAAATGAAAAAATGAAGCAAGTGCTGAAGAAGACTGTGGAAGAGGCCAAAGCAATAATATCTAAGGTCAGCTTTTAAACGATGCTCTGAAGCTCGTCCTCTGACGTGGTCTCCCGTGATGCCCCAGTCACCTGCCGCAGCCCCTCCGTCCCTGAGCCTCCTGAGGTGCGGGCATGGGCGTGCTGGCGGCCTGGCTTTTCCTGGCACAGTCTGCCCTTGGTCCTGAGCCCGCCCGCCCCCAGCAGACACGACGTCAGCCGTCCGTGGAGGTGGCTCGCCCGTGGTTCTGACGGGCTGATGTGTGTGGTTCCCTTTCCGTTGCCTCCTCGAGGAACCTGAGAAAGTGAAAGGCCCGGCCCCTGACTCGATCGGTCGCTTGGACGTGAGCTTGACGGATGTGTGTCGAATCGATCAGCTGCGGTATGATAACCGTGCGTCCCACTTTCAGAAACAAGTGGAAGCTGGCGTCTGTGTTACCATGGAGATGGTGAAGGACGCCCTGGACCAGCTCCGGGGCGCAGTGATGATTGTGTACCCCATGGGCTTGCCGCCCTACGACCCCATCCGCATGGAGTTCGAGAACAAAGAAGACTTGTCGGGCACTCAGGTATGTGCTCTGGCGTCAGGCGAGTCCCCGCCCCACAGAGCAAGGGCCCCTCCGATCTGACCCCCCTTCCCCACAGAGCAGGGGCCCCTCCCATCTGACCCCCCTTCCCCACAGAGCAGGGGCCCCTCCCATCTGACCCCCCTTCCCCACAGAGCAGGGGCCCCTCCCATCTGACTCCCTCTTCCCCACAGAACAGGGGCCCCTCCCATCTGACCCCCCTTCCCCACAGAGCAGGGGCCCCGCCCATCTGACCCCCCTTCCCCACAGAGCAGGGGCCCCTCCCATCTGACTCCCTCTTCCCCACAGAGCAGGGGCCCCTCCCATCTGACCCCCCTTCCCCACAGAGCAGGGGCCCTGCCCATCTGACCCCCCTTCCCCACAGAGCAGGGGCCCCTCCCATCTGACTCCCTCTTCCCCACAGAGCAGGGGCCCCTCCCATCTGACCCCCCTTCCCCACAGAGCAGGGGCCCCGCCCATCTGACCCCCCTTCCCCACAGAGCAGGGGCCCCTCCCATCTGACCCCCCTTCCAGGGGCCGTCAGGGACCCCGCGGGCCGGGAGGGTGGCGCCCGTGGCCAGGCGTGTGGCGCCCGTGGCCAGGCGTGGCGCACACAGCAGGTGGAGAGAAGGTGTGGCTGCCCTGCTCTGTGCCTGCTGGGCCCTGGGCCCGGGATTTATGTGGAACCTCTGGCTTCACGTCGTGTTCAGCCCCATTGGGTCTGTCAGAAAACCCAGTGGGACCCCATATCCTTCCCCGGCGGTCTCCTCAAATCCCACCTCCGAGGGACCTTACACGCTGGACGGGGGGTAGATGAGATGGGACACCCCCACTTCCCAGAGCAGGGAGCTCACTGAGTCAGGGCGCCACTGGGCTCACAGGGAGGCGCCAGAATGAGCGGGGGCTCGGAGAGGTGGGGTCCGCGCTGCCTGCGGGGAGCCCGGGGGGTGGGGGGGGTCAAAGGGGGAGGCGGGCACGGTGCCAGAGGCCAGGCCCCGGGGCGCGCAGGGCACCGCCTGGCTCCCACGGGGACCACGCCGCGTGCTGAGCGGTGGCCCGGCCCAGGCGGGGCTCAGCGTGGTGGCGCAGGCGGAGGCGCAGCTGTGGTGGGCCGCCAAGGAGCTGAGGAGGACGAAGAAGCTTTCCGACTACGTGGGCAGGAATGAAAAAACCAAAATCATTGTCAAGATTCAACAGGTGAGCACTTCAACATGCACTGTTCCTGTTTCCAGACTGATCAGAGTTTACAGTAAATCTGAAAGAGTTAAACTCTTAGCACAAATGCTCCAACTGGTCTGGACCTACAGTAGCCTTTCCTCTTGTGTCCCGGCCCGACTGGAAGACACTGGGTCAGCTGACAGTGTCGGGAGTTTGTTTCAAGGGGCGGGGTTGCCACGTGAATGTCAACACTAGGAAGTGGGCTGCGTGTAAGCAGTCACCTCTCGGGTGCACAGTGCGGCCCAGAGCACCCCTTCGGGGGCCGGTGGTCCACGGGGCAGGTCGGCCGCCGTCCGTGTGACGTGAACGTGTCTGCGGGGCTGCTGTGTCATGTGCCCCTCCTAATCCAGGCTCTCATCGGGGGCCAGCCCCCCGCCCCCCCGTTACCTCGGCCCTTCCCCACGTCCCTGCATGCGCTCTCCTGTCTTTGCAGCGGGGGCAGGGAGCTCCAGCCCGGGAGCCTGTCCTGAGCAGCGAGGAGCACCGACAGCTGATGCTGCATTTCCACAGGAGGCAGGAGGAGCTCAAGGTGCGCGCCCGGGTGGAGGGTGCGGGTTCTCTCTCCGACCTCCTCATGTTGCGGCTTCCTGAAACGCCTTCCTGAATGAAACATTTATTTCCAGAAACTGGAAGAAAATGACGACGACTCCTGCTTAAACTCTCCGTGGGCAGATAACACTGCTCTGAAAAGACATTTCCACGGAGTGAAAGACATCAAGTGGAGACCACGGTGACTCGCCAGGCTCCGAGGCTCCGAGCCCTCTGGCAGAACAGTGCCGGCGGCACCCAGAGGGCCTCCCCGTCGGGGCTGGGGTTTCTGGTTCCCGCTCTGTCTGTTTGCATTCTCGGTGATTCATTAAAGGTCGCAGAGCTGGACGCAGCCTCGGGGGCCGCCTGCAGCGCCTTCCTTCCGGGGCTGTCGGAGGCTCTTGCCCCGAACACTGGGATGTGTTTGTTCACAAACCTGGTTTCTTCTTTTTACCTTCTCGGCCCCGCTGTGGAGGACACGGCCTCTTCCTCCTCTGCAGCCCAGGGCCCCGAGTGAAAAGCCGTCAGTGGCCACCAGGGGCCGCTGTCACCTGCCCGGGTTTGCCCTGGGCCCTGGGTCTGGCAGGCAGTCTGGGTCCTGTTGGAGGACCTGGCAGCTCTGGCCCCAGGTGAGGCTCACCTGCTGAGGCTCCGCCTGGACGGAGGGGGGCAGCCGTGCGGCCCCCAGCAGGACACTTCTCAGGTAGTGGCCAGGCTCTGCCTGACGCCGCTGTAGTGCCCGGCTGCTTCCACCGGGGGCCGGGCGGTGCTGGGCTCGGTGCACGTGACCGCGGGTAGCTTTCCCAGGACACCTGTGGCTGTACCTGCCCAGCCTGCCCTCCCGCACCCGACACGTCACCAGCTCCCAGACTGGCCGCGCACCGGAGGTGGCCTAGGGCCCTGTGCTTACTCGGACTGGGGGACGTGGCCCTGGGTGGAGGAAACCACCCCGCCCTGGGAGGAGTGACCGCTGGCCCTGCCTGGCCCTCTGCTGCCACCGCTCTGCTCCCCAAGCCTTCTGACCATCACAGGCGTGGGCCCTGTGCTGAGGCCCCCGCGCGGCCTTTCCCTGGGGTTCCCACACCTTGCGGGGAGCGGGGACCGGCCACCTCCCTCTGCTGGCCTGGCCACGGGGGTGGGGTCGGGAGGTCACTGGGACCTGCACGCCCACCGGGAGGGCTCCCGGCAGGGACTGGTCCGCCAGAGAGCAGACCCGAGCACCCCACACAGGGTGGCACCCCCCGCCATCTCCGGGTCCTTCAGCACCTGCCCCGGGCTGTCCCTGCAGCGCCTGCAGCTGCGTTTTCGGAAGAGGGTTGTGGCCGACTGCATCACGTCTCACTCTTGGTGGCCTGTCAAATTTTGTAAAACCAAATTTGCATTTATCTTCTTGACTTTCATTATACTGTTAAACATCTCTGAGAAATGTTTGTTCCTGGCTGATGTCAAGTTTCCAGTAAGATCCTTTGGTTTTCTCCGAAGAGCACGCTGCCTTTGTGTCGTCTGGGCATTACGTCTGGGCCCGACTCGCAGCCGGTCACCACGCCACGCGGTCCCAGGAGAGCCGAGAGCCACTGCTCCTGACGTCGGGGTTCTGACTGGGACAGACGTGCGCCAGCGCCCCCTGCAGTCACCAGTGAGGGGCCGCTGGCTCCGGAGTAGGAGCACTGGATCGCCAGCCCCACACAGCGCTTGACCAGACACCAGTGAAACACCAGGCCCCGATCCCCGAGTTCTGTTGGGACAAGCAGCTCGTTGGCTATGGAAGCGTGAGGAGCCCCGCGAGGAGGGGCGGCCGTCTGGAGCCCACTCTGCCCCCCGTATTGCTCGCAGGGCAGGGCCAGGGGTCACGCCCAGGACAAGCAATCAACAGCAGCAAAGCCACCTTGCCAAATGGCAGGCTGGAGAGAGCAGAGGTGTGTGGTCTCGGGGTGGCCGTCTTCAACCCAGCGTGTCTGGATCGACACCCAAAGGGGGCGCAGTGCCCGTGACCGTGCGGGGCCCCTCTGAGGGTGAGCCCTTCCGCACTGGTGGGTGCTCACGGAGACAGGGTGCAGAGGGCGGGGCTCCGCCAAGGGCACCTCGCTCCTGGGCACTGCTCTGCCGAGAACGTGCCTCAAGCTCGGAATGAACCCGGGAGGGGGAGCGGTCTGAGCCCCCCGCGCTCTGACACGGGTCCCGGAGCCATTCTGCACTGCAGGAGGCGCCACTGGCCCCGGAGAGCCCGAGATGCGGTGGATTCCCCGGGTCCCGCACCAGATGCCACCGTCACTGGCTGCACTCGGCTTCCCAGACGGCCGCAGTAAGTGCTGACACACATGTCCTTTCTTACCCCGTGGGAGCCCGACGAGAAGCTCGTCTGTCTTCTGACCAGTAAGGAAACTGAAGCCAGAAAGTGAATCCGCTCAAGGTGAGGCGCCTCCGCGCCCACCTGCTGGCCCATCTCCGTGACTGCGTGGACGTTTCCGTCTGTGCCACACGTGGGTTCCACTCACATGCTGGTGAGCAACACCGAGCAGATGTCCGCGGAGCACATACCTGTAGGGCCACACGCATGTGCTTCACAGTGAGCAACCGGCAGCCTCCGGTCACCGACGCCGGGCCAGCACGCTGGACTGTGGGTCCTCGGACCGCTCTGCTTCACCGGCCGCCGGACGAAAGGACACGAGTCCGCCCTTGACGTGCTCTAAGCGGGTGGACACTTGGCTCAGCTCTGGAAGCCGGTACCCCCATCAGTGAGACCTGGGGGTGTCCTAGCAGCACACAGGTCGGGGAGTCACGCCAGCAGGGATCGGAGGTGAGCAGACAGACAAACGCACACAGGCTAAGCCCTGGTCTCGGTACCTTGAGCAGACTCAATCCTACACGTTCCGACCCAAACCAGCGGCCACGGCGGTCCTGTTATTCCAGCAAGGAGGCTGACTCCAAGAGGCCCCATGAGCCAGCATCGCCAACCCTCCTGGTTCTGTCCCCTGATCCCACACCCAGCGGGTAGGTGGCCACACTGCCCAGCAGCCACATGGCCACCGCCCTCCTGACCCTGTCCTGAGAGTGCTCAGCACCTTCCGCCCAAGGCGCCTGGACATGCCTCGTCATTGCCCCTTGGCTCCTCACGGAGGCCACCGTGCTGCGGGTGCCAGGCGCCCCCTGCTCTTCACCCCTTTGTGGGTCACAGCATTTTGAAACAACTAAGCCTTAAGTGGGTGACATGACTATGGTGCCATAAGTGGCCACAGCCCCTCACTCTCTGTCTCTACACCGAACAAAGCAGACACGGTAGCAGCATTATTCTGTGACCTCTCATTTCTTGTTACCCCACAGACTCGGAGTAACTGTGCTTTACAGGTACGTTACAAAAGACAAGGTGCGCTCAAAGCTCCTGTTATCAGAATTCGCTGTTATGACTGAATCACTATGATTATAAAATAAAAAGACAGTGATAAGACAATTGAGGGCACTGATATGCCAATCAAAATCTGAAAACAGCTGCTGTGGGTTTAATTCTGAGACCTCCATTCATTTCAGTGCACCCAACTCACTGCACTCAGCCCACTACACCCAGCCCAGCTCACTGCACCCAGCCCAGCTCACTGCACCCAGCTCAGCTCACTGCACCCAGCCCAGCTCACTGCACTCAGCTCACTGCACTCAGCTCAGCTCACTGCACCCAGCCCAGCTCACTGCACCCAGCTCAGCTCACTGCATTCAGCTTAGCTCACTGCACCCAGCCCAGCTCACTGCACTCAGCTCACTGCACCCAGCCCAGCTCACTGCACCCAGCTCAGCTCACTGCACCCAGCTCAGCTCACTCCACCAAGCCCAGCTCACTGCACCCAGCTCAGCTCACTGCACCCAGCCCAGCTCACTGCACCCAGCTCAGCTCACTGCATTCAGCTCAGCTCACTGCACCCAGCCCAGCTCACTGCACTCAGCTCACTGCACCCAGCTCAGCTCACTGCATTCAGCTCAGCTCACTGCACTCAGTTCAGCTCACTGCGCCCAGCTCAGCTCACTGCGCCCAGCTCAGCTCACTCCACCCAGCCCAGCTCGCTGCACTCAGATCAGCTCACTGCGCCCAGCTCAGCTCACTGCACTCAGCTCAGCTCACCTGAACTGATGTCCACCTATCTTGCAACTATTTCCAGGCCCAAAAACTTGGCATTTCTGGAGATAATTTACATTTAACTGATGAGTTACAGCTTTTGATTTGTCCTTGGAAGGTAAAAGGATTTAAGTTCTTAAATATAAGATTTAAATAGCTTTATCCTAAAGAAACTCAGAAGTCAGTGAACATGTCTAAAAAATACATGTCACAAGTTGACTATTAGCAAAAGTAATTGACCTATTCAAATCTAATGGACGCATCATCTATGGTGGAAAATTTGCCCTGAGCGGAGACAGGGCAGCTTGGGCCCGTCTCAGGTGGGCCACCTGTTTCTACCGGTGCTGAAGGGGACGGCTTTGCCTTTGAGGCAGGACACACAGGGGCGCGGGCCGCCGGCCGCTGCCTCCAGTCCCCCAGAGCCAGCAGCCCAGCCTGTACACGGGTCCCGAGGTTGGGGTGCAGTGACGATCTGTCTCGCCTCCCAGAGCGAGTGTCAGAGCCCATATTTGGGGAACTGAGAGAGTCTAAGTTTAGAAGCTCAGGGAAAGGCTCCCGCCTGTGAACCTAGATGCCTTTCGGGCCCTGTCAGCCACAGGAAGTGTATAGAAAGCTGTGGGAAACGTAGCACTTCCTCGGATACAAACAGCCCAGCTACACGTCAGCCCCCGATTTCATCATTGTGAGAGTTTCAATAGCTGGAGACCAAGTGAAACCAGAGGGGCAGGAGCCAGTTCTCGCCCTGGGTCTCAGCCTTGGGGCACCAGGCGCTCACAGACGCGGCCCCGAGACCCTGAGCGAGTGGGTGGGGAAGTCATCACTAGCCAGGCCCACAGAACCCAGAACTGCCAGGTCACACCTGTAGGAGTTTCCAGACACCAGAGGTGCACCTCCTCTGTGGAGCTAACAGGCGTCACCCTGAGGCCTCCGCCAGCTTCCCCGAGGATTGCGGGCCGGCAGGAAGCAGTCTGTGCAGACACCGACCCCCTACGATGCGGCCACAGGAAGAACGAGACCTTGCCATCTGCCCCCACAGGGAAGGACCCAGAGGGTATCATGCTGTGAAATAAGACAAAGAAAGACAAGCACCATATTATTTCATTTATATGTGGAATCTAAAGAACAGTATCAACAAAACAAAGCAGAAACAGACTGCTGATGGCCAGAGGGAAGGGTGTAGGGGGATGGATGAGAAGTGAAGGGACTGAGAAGTACAGGTTGGCAGTTACACAGTAGTCGCAGGGATGGAATCTAATCGGTAACATTGTAGCCACTCTGTGTGGTGCCCGTCGTGCTGGAAATACCGGAGCAGTCA